CGATGTATTACAGATCAACCAACCACATATTGCTAGTGCTTCTTCTATCACATGCCCGGCTCGCTAGCGTAGTTGGCTAAACGGGATTGCGTGGTGACCGGGTGAAAAACTCCTTGTGGTCCGGGTTCACGCCCGGGGGTAGGCAGAAAAGCCACATTTCTCACAGATTTACGGTATTTATCATGGAATCAAGGCCGAAAGGTTGCGATATCCATAACACAGAGCCTAAGGGTTAACAACTCATGGCTTCTGAATACTAAAAAAAAAAAAAAAACAGGTCACAGAAGAGTTCATTCTTCTCAGAGGACGACATTATTTGTTGTCATTTGATAAATTCAATAAATACTCGTGGGATATCTTTCGAAAATATTATAATAATGCAATCTCGTCAAACAATACAGTTATAAGAGAATCTTTTAAACAGGTTATTATGTGACAAGAATTAAAGCTTTAAAGCAAGTTTTAATCTGTCGGAACTTTTGCCCAGCATTAAAACAGCTAAAACAAACAAACTGGTCTGTGATAGTGTTTACTTTTCACCATTCCAAGAATTGCACAGTTATTTTAAGAGCGAGCGGAAGCAAATTTTCTTTGACAATACTCGTTTAGAAATCCATTCCGTGCAAGACAACACGTTTAATTTAACAATGCTGCCGTTGGAAAACAGACTGTTTGTAGAGGAACTTTCCAAGAATGTGAAAATGACCTTCAGATTCAACAAGTGCTACTCTAAGATAACTTTTACTTCCCCTGAATTGTACTATCCATTGAAGCATAGGCTCTCAACGAACTCAAACCAACTTAGTGAAGAAACACTCAGGAGGGGATCGGAACACTTATGGTCATGTCCGATGAAGATGAGCTTTTAATGAACAGTCCTGTCTTGACCTCCACATATAATTAAGCTCTGTCTCTGATTCTCTTGTCATTCTGAGCCAAGTCTTGACCTCCACATATAATTAAGCTCTGTCGCTAATTCTCTTAGCATTATGAGCCAAGTCTTGACCTCCACATATAAAAAAGCTCTGTCTCTAATTCTCTTAGCTTCTGAGCCCAGTCTTGACCTCCACATATAATTAAGCTCTGTCTCTGATTCTCTTGTCATTCTGAGCCAAGTCTTGACCTCCACATATAATTAAGCTCTGTCTCTGATTCTCTTGTCATTCTGTGCCCAGTCTTGACCTCCACATATAATTAAGCTCTGTCTCTGATTCTCTTGTCATTCTGTGCCCAGTCTTGATCTCCACATATAATTAAGCTCTGTCTCTAATTATCTTGTCATTCTGAGCCCAGTCTTGACCTCCACATATAATTAAGCTCTGTCTCTGATTCTCTTGTCATTCTGAGCCAAGTCTTGACCTCCACATATAATTAAGCTCTGTCTCTAATTCTCTTGTCATTCTGAGCCAAGTCTTGACCTCCACATATAATTAAGCTCTGTCTCTGATTCTCTTGTCATTCTGTGCCCAGTCTTGACCTCCACATATAATTAAGCCCTGTCTCTAATTCTCGTGTCATTCTGAGCCAAGTCTTGACCTCCACATATAATTAAGCTCTGTCGCTAATTCTCTTAGCATTATGAGCCAAGTCTTGACCTCCACACATAATAAGGCTCTGTCTCTAATTCTCTTAGCTTCTGAGCCCAGTCTTGACCTCCACATATAATTAAGCTCTGTCTCTAATTCTCTTAGCATTCTGAGCCAAGTCTTGACCTCCACATATAAAAAAGCTCTGTCTCTAATTCTCTTAGTTTCTGAGCCCAGTCTTGACCTCCACATATAATTAAGCTCTGTCTCTGATTCTCTTGTCATTCTGAGCCAAGTCTTGACCTCCACATATAATTAAGCTCTGTCTCTGATTCTCTTGTCATTCTGTGCCCAGTCTTGACCTCCACATATAATTAAGCTCTGTCTCTGATTCTCTTGTCATTCTGTGCCCAGTCTTGATCTCCACATATAATTAAGCTCTGTCTCTAATTATCTTGTCATTCTGAGCCCAGTCTTGACCTCCACATATAATTAAGCTCTGTCGCTAATTCTCTTAGCATTCTGAGCCCAGTCTTGACCTCCACATATAATTAAGCTCTGTCTCTAATTCTCTTAGCTTCTGAGCCCAGTCTTGACCTCCACATATAATTAAGCTCTGTCTCTAATTCTCTTGTCATTCTGAGCCCAGTCTTGACCTCCACATATAATTAAGCTCTGTCTCTAATTCTCTTAGCTTCTGAGCCCAGTCTTGACGTCCACATATTATTTAGCTCTCTCGCCAATTCTCTTATCATTCTTAGCCCGGTTCAGTACCTCTACATATAATTAAGCGCTGTTTCTAATTCTCTTATATTATCATTCCCAGTCCGGTCCCTACCTTCACATATAATTAAGCTCTGTTCCTAATTATCTAATATTATCACGTAAGAGGTGACTAATTAGGGGTGTTTCTTTCGAAGCATAGGTCCATCTGCCTGAGAGCCAAGGAACCAGTAAACTGCTTACAAATAAGTCAAATCTGCCAAACGGATGTGCACGCAGAACTTAAGTTCTGGAACAGGATCGGGATCCAGAAGTGGATAAACAGCCAGAACCTTCCACCGAAGTTTACATCCGATGAACGCGAAGAAGGAGTAGATTTCGCCAGTCTTCACAACATTACAAATGGCGAGAACAAATGCAAATGTTGGATTTTGAAAATGGCACAACGTATTCGCTACAGATTCATAAGAACAACCTTCGATTTCAGTGTGATGTGTCGTAAATATTTTTGTATTCCAAGAAAGACATCACGGATATTCCTAGACTGCATTTCACAAGGGCGTCGTCGCAAACAGATTTCTGTGTCTGTCTTTGGCTGGCAAGCTATTTACTCTCCCCATCATTTACTGGCACTTTTCCGTCTTTCAGGCGATAGTGTTATGTTGTGCTATGAGGAGGCATTGAACTCACAGCCCATGGCTGTGGCGAGTGTGACTAGCAAGACCCGCCCGCGTTAAAAGAAGTTTTCCACAATTATAGCATGGGATTTCAGGACCGTTCTTTTGTGTAATCATTTGTATTTAGTGACATTCTTCCCAGATACCAGCTCTCATTCTTGCTGCACTCATTTCATCCTCCAGTCTCATTTCCTTCCTGGTTCCCCCCCCCCCCCCCGCCACACAATACGGCCAATTACATTTTGTTCCCACCAGTCCAACTCAATATCTGTATCATTCATGTCCCGCGTGCACACATCTTTATATCATTTTAGAGGTCGGCCTGAACATCTACACACAGTGGATGTTATTAGCGACTCTGCCATCCTCCATTCCACACGTGTGACCCAGCCACCTGACCCTCCACAGACCGAGAATTGGGCAAACTGTTGTAATATCCGCTCTTTTTAATACCTCAGTATTTGTGATCTTGTCCTGCCACTTAGTACCAAGTATTCTTCTTAGGCATCGCATGTGAAAGCTATTTAACCGTTTCTCCTGGTGAGAATAAGCTGACCGAGGTTCACTGCCATAAAGCAGAGTGCTGAGAACACAAGCCTGACAGACAGAAGTCTTTGTTTTAATTGTGAACTTTATGTTCTCCAAAAACCTTTTTGTTAATTTGCGCATTGTTGTTGCTGCCTTACCTATCCTGGTGTTGATTTCTTGGTCCAGCGATAGTTTGTTATTCATTGTGGATCCCAATAGGTAAAATGGTCAACTGATTACAGCTCTTCACCATCAATGTATACTGCAGGTCTACTATTGAAACCTTGCATATAATCTTTATCTCTGTGTTTATTGTTAATCCAAATTCACAGCATGCATGACAAATGTAGATAGTAAACATTGCAGCTCCTCTTCTGAGTGGGTGGTAATTGCTGCATCATCTGCAAACAGCAGCTCTCTAATAAATACTTTTCTTATCCTGGTTGGCATTGAGCCTACGAACACTGTAAAGGCTGTCTTACGATCGACAATTAAGAAGAGCAACTCAGATGTTTTGAAAGAGGCGAGTGCTCGAAGACAACTTATCACAAACATCAGAAAGAGACAGTCATCAATTTTTGTTTGACATGTTAGAAGAAGAGGGAAACTGACCATATTGTGACCACTGGAAAGATCTGTGGAAGGCAGGCAGGTCGTTGTAGGGGAGACGCCTGCTGGTGGATGTAATGTCCTAAGTCCCTTCCCCAGCTAATAATGAGGGTGCTGCTGGGGTGACCGTTTATTAACCCTCATATAATGCTTCAGGTCAAAATGGACGCTAGGCACGGCCACCTTTTTTCCCTGCCAGACAGTGGCCGTTGCATTTTTGCTCCATTTGTAGCCTGGAAGGATATAGTTTCGTCGCCCAGCTTCTGAGTTGAGTGCATGGCGTGACACTGTGAGCTACGTGTGTTTTTCGTTGGCACAGGAGCGGAGCAACTATGGGGTGACCCATTTGCTATGAAGCTGAAACTAGGATTACCAGATTACCAGCACAACGAATTAAAAACATCAAATCATGAAAAATCCGAAAAATACAGGATGAAAACTCCCGTCAAAAATCAGTCACAGCTTAATACAACAATGACTTTTAGGCAAAGTAATGATAAAGTTAAGGTAGCAGAGTTGAAACTTGCTGTAAGCATGACCTGCCATTGTGCAATATGCTCACAACTGATCATCTAAGTGAAATCATGAGAGCGCATGATCGGGGAAGTACATTGGAGCAATATAGTTGCGTGGAACTAAATGTTATTGCATACTTTAAACAATTATTATATAGCTTGCACTTAAGGCTGAAAAGGTTTACGCTGTATCTTCCACGATTACCAGTGAGGACGCAGTGAGAAATTCAATCCAGAGTCTAGAGCTTTTGATGTGAAGTGAGTACAATGTAACATTTTATTTTGCGTTTTCTAGGTAGTAGTTTGGCTTAAAATTAGTTTTTTTTTTTTTTAATCTGGCAACCCTGCTTATAACTTCCGCAGAGAAATTCAAATAGACTTCCGTTTCCGGAAAGCGTGTTGTTTTGTGCAAGGCATGGTAAATGGTAGTGATAAGGAACTGTGAAAACATGTTTTGGGGTAAGAAAATGGAAATATTTATTAACTCCTGGCATTTTGAACATGTGATCTGCTCTGTTTGACAAACCGATTTCAAATACCTCTTTATATTTATATCTAAAAGATATGGACAGTCAGAAGTGGTACTTATCACACCACTTTGACTTTGAACAAATAAATAAAATTGAGAAATCGTGCACCAAATTTGTCAAGTCAAGAAGTTGAAGAAGCAGAAGTAAAGTAGAATTGGTTATTCCATTATTCTTAAGTACCAACACAGGTGCTGTACCTTTAAAAAATCTATGAAAGCAAGAGGATATGCATTCAGATAAATTAATAAATAAAACCTTTTATAATCTTAGAGATTGTATATCAAATTTGTAAAATGCCCTTTACACCAATAAAACCAGCACAGTTAGATAGCTGTAAACAATCTCTTTCCAACGGTACCTCATTTAGGCTTGTATGTCATTTCTGAGCTGAGATATGTAGGTTTTTGTGGAGATGAGATGTAAAAAACAGCTGTTAAAAACCTGCGTCCCAGAAACAAAAAGTTTTCTCTGCGCAACCAAACTGCGCACTTCTGTTTTGGCTTTCTTTACATTGGGCAAGATGGCAGACAATTTTTCTCAGACACAGCCACATAATAGCGATTGCCTGAAAAATGTCACTGTAAATAGAATTAGCCATACCTAGGAAAGAAATTTTATAGACAAATGTAAAATTGGAAGGAGAATTCAATTATAACTAGCCTAGCATTACCTTGAATACTTTACCGCTATTTTTAATCAAACTGATGTAACAGAAAAACAGGACGACCGGCTGTCGTAGACATGTGCTGTATATCGGGTTTGTTCCTGCCGTTTTCAGCTATTTATAGCTGGTGAAAATCACACCAAACGCAAAATTTCATGAGAGATTAGGACCCACCCCAAAACCCCAACCGACATTTTCTAAACAAGTTTTAAATGGTTTCCATGGTAACGGAAATTGCCAAAAAAGACCGCAAATTTCCGAACACCGTAGTCGCTACCAACAGTATCCCCCAAGGCGCGGATGGGGGGCTAAACTAGATGGCTGGGACTCACGAGCAAATGAATTGGAGGAAGTTGCAGGAGATGTGGTAGCTGCTGCTGATGTGGTAGTTTTAAGCCCCCACCCCCATCTGGCCGGCATGGGGGATACCCCCGACTGAGTTTAATCAGAAAAACACTATCGCTAACCTTCGTCGAAGCGTGCCGTGTGGTCTTCCAGCAGTGTTGCTATTATTGTATTTCTCAAAATTGTCAACAGACAGTAATTCTAGTTTTGCCGTGATGTGTTCGTTGCAGAAAGTCTGCATTTTACATACAACTGAGGCCCTGTTGGGGTATTTGTTAGGCCGCCACAATATAGGGACAAAGTTTGGAGGAGAAGCCGAAATTCCTTCTAATGTGAAGCCAGATAGTGCTCGCCATGAAGTAGAAGTAGAGGTGGAGCTTAGTAATAGTAGTTCACCTCTCGACACCTAACAACAAATGTAGAGTTCTTGATAATAATGAATTAGGCTATTGTTAACCTCTTAGCCTTCCCCTGTACAATACATGTTCCAGTTTCTTCTTAGGACTTCTGTGACTTTTACTGGTATTCTGTTAACGTTTAATTTCCAGTCAGTCAAGGATAATTTGTCTGCTGCTGAAGTGCAGTTAGTAAATTACCCTCTGTTGTTTTCATATGAAGTCTAATAACAAGAGGCTGTGATTGCGTATAACTGTATACAACATAAATTGTTCCTTACATTATTGTATTTTATTAGTACTGAATAGTATCTTATTAATGCTTACCAAAGTTAACCTGGTATGTGCAGATAATTATGCAGTAGATTTAAATATGTTCACATTTTGTAGGAATAACTATCGATGCCGGGAAGCGATACTCCCAGGTGGTGAAACAAGGCTTTCATGTATCCATGGCTGCCCTGGAAGTTCAAGCAAGTAAGTTTATTTCTTGGAGATAATGATGATGATACGTGGAGTGATGACAACTGTAGGTTTTCTACAGTTTGAATAATAAAGACTTTCCATATAGGTTCTGGGGCCCTATTTTAAAGAAAACAAGAATAGATGCACTGCTTCTCCAGTGAGCATGTCATGGGAGTTGACTAATTGGGGATATTAAGATATTCTTTGAGGTCGGGGTGCATCTGTCATCTGCAGAGGGGCAAGGAACCAAAAACCTGCATACAAATAAACCAGATTTGTAAAATGGATGTGCACAACACTGGCTGGATAAAACTAAAGTTAAGTTTTATTGTAGATGGACAACTAGAGCTTTCCATCATTAAATGACACAAATTAGGATGCATAATTCATTATCATTTCTTAGCATATTTCATTGCATCTTGTTAGATAAATACCATATAACTAGATCAGTACGTAGTGGCATACATTTTTTGGGGGAAAACCAAAGGTTGTGGGAGGTGGATGTAGAGGTGGATCATCACATGTTGCTCCACTAGAATGTCTGTCAGCATCTCTCTGCAGTCACCCTAAAACAGGTTCTCATCTTTTGAATAACAGTCCCGAATTATAGAGGCCAAAAATATACCCTTACAGGGCTTTAGTCAATTGCGGACTCCCGCCATGGCCGAGAGCATCTCCCACGCCGCTCCGCATGACGTGGATTGGAGCTTAACCAGATGGCTAGAACTCATGAGCAGATAAAATGAAGGAAGCTGCATGTAAGATACTCTCGGCGGTGGCGGCAGTCGCCAGAAGTCCGCAGTTGACACGTGACTGGGGCCCTTCCAGGGTATATTTTTAGCATCGATAATTTGGGACTGTTATTTGGAAGATAGCCATTTTTTTTGTTAGTCACATAAGAACAAAAAAACATCACATCGAAACTATTTAAGAAAATATTTGTCTTTTTAGGATATTTAAAAAAAATAACTTGGTTGCCTATCCTTTTTAGGACATTGCAGTACCAGCACTAGCATTTTTTATTTTTGTGTGGGTGTGTTCTGTTTTTTTAGGCAAATGTATTTTTTTTAAGTAGTTTGCAATTGCTTTCTCAGCAGTCAGCTCTCGACACCACTTTCAAAACTAACACAAAATGTTCAGCTGCCAAATCTTCTACAGCTGGGATTGAACTCTGCACCCTGGCATTATAAAGCACATTCGAAACACCCAAGCCACAGACGGCGACTAAATAATAGTGTTAAAAATAGAAGTGTCCCACATATTTGTTTGAAAAATGTTTAATGAATGGTTTTTTTAATTTCATTTGATTAAAAATATGTATGTCACTTTTAGCCTTCCAAAACTCTTTCAAAATATTTTATGTAATAAATACAATGAAAATGTTAAACTAGTCAGAATTATCAAACATTATCATAAATGGCAAATGAACATTGTGGCTGTAAAAAACGAAACAAAATGGATTTAACTATTTATGTTGAGGAGTGGGCAGGAAGCATTGTCTGTGACTATATTTATGTCATAGTCTACATAAAGTCCTTAGTTTGTCTTTGGGTAACCTTTGTGCACATTTTAACAGAAAAGCCCAGCGAAAATGTCCAGGTCCTGCTCCAGCATGAAGCAACAGAGTATTTGCTGTGTACTCTCAATGGAAACCTGCTCCAGCAATCTCTTGATCTGAATTTTGAAACCGGTGAACAAGTTTCTTTTTGTTTAAATGGTTCTGGTAAGTTATTGTATTTGTAATTTCTTGTATACATTTGGCATGTAAAAATGCTTGAGCCACAGTAATGTTTTGAAATTTTAATGGATCCTAGTGCATTCACGCGTGTGCCTTTACGAATCACATCAGAATTGTAGAAATTGCAAGACATACTTGATTTAATGGCATGCAAAAATTGATCGCATTTTTTCTCTCCTACTTTTGACTGTTCATGAGCTTCTTTCTGTAATTTTGTTCATCAAATCCCTACTTAAGAAATTTTTTTAATTGTGTTAATTTTCATCATGTATATTTTTTATCAACATAGGTAACGATTTTGGTTTTGCCTGAAAGAGCAGGTTGAGAAAAAAGGGAATGTTACAATTTGAGAATAGCATCGTTATAAATTGATATCATTTGTAATTTAGCAATGTTCTGACAGATGTAGCAAATTGTTCTGGAATCTCTCACCTGCCATAATTAATTGGTAACTTTATTCAGTTTAACTACTTAATCTTTACAACACAGTTTCCAATATCAGAGATTCTGCTTTTTATGTGTGTGTGTATCCCTACATCCACTAATAACTGCTCTGATGATGCATGTGTAATCTACTACATTGTATTATTTCAAAATTAATACATGCTTTGTCTCTACTGTCAATACAGGTGTGGTGCATCTGACGGGTTTTCTTATACCTGAAGATGACGAACCAGATTTTGATGAGTCATTTTCTGGATCAGAAGATGATGGTATGATAATTGTGCAGATAACTGCAAAAATATTAATTCAATGTCTTTTTACATGTGTTCAAAATAGATGAAATAGTATCTTTACTGTCAAGATCATTGGAAATTGTTTAAGTAGTTATTTATCATTTTGGTAAAAGTATATATAGATTTGTTTTCAATTGCCTTTGATCACTAAATTCTGGATATCAGCGCTGAAGCCAGCGCAAGATTGTATGATGCTAAATCACCTGCAGGTCGGATTGAATCCGGCACTTTGTAATTACAGTGTTTTTATAGACGGAGTAATGGTGACTGCAGCGCATGTAGTAACCATTGAAACTGATGGTTTACATAGCTGCAATGCTTTCACTTCTGCTGTATGCATGCGGAACATGGACTGCATGTAGGCATTTAAGAAACTCGGCCATTTCCTTACAGCCTGTCTAAGAAACATACTGAAAATGGATTCATGGTGGCAAGATGGTTCCACATACTGTTGCATTGGATAGAGCTAGCATTCCCAGCATTGATGCCATCCTGATGTAGTCACCATCGACTTTCACAATAATAGTGTATGGTAAGATAAGGTAGAGGCTCTCATGGTAGCCAGAAAAGGAACCCCACTTCAATGGCATGCTGAAGGCATCAATTAAAGTCTTCAGTATAAACCCTGACACTTGGGGAGGCTGCTGAACAGCATTTATCCGAAAAAAGGCAGCGACTTGCGGAGCATTTAGAGAAAGCAGGCAGGCTAGTACAGGCACTTTATCTACAGACACTGTTCCCTGACCTTATAGTCCTTGACCCTTCGATGCCTGTATTGGGCTTATAAGTCACTTTCTGACTCACAGACAGTCATGGCCGATGAAAGAAAAAATGGTCCTGGTAGAAAAACGACAGAAAAGAACTTTTAAATACCTTTCACTTTAAAAAAAAGTCTCTAGTCTAAGCAACTAAAAAAAATGTCAAGGGGTGCAGTTATTTTACCCCATGTTATACAATATATAGCATGTGCTGTAATCATTGCACTTTGTTTAGTAATTAGTAGACTGTTCTGCATTGTCATATTTTGCATTTCAATTTTTACAGAGGCTCCATCTCTTATTGACACATCAGTAGATAGTCCAAACAAAGGTAATCACTTGTTTTTATTTATGCATGCATAAACAAAATACAGTAAAACCATGTTAACATGAACTCCCAATGTGAAGAAATTGAGTTCATGTTAAAAAAACCCAACTTGTGCCAATGTAACTACTCAGTGTGTCACTACTAGTACCCGAATTGTGTGTGTATAGTGACCAAGTGCTCTTAACTCTTTCAGGCTCATGAATTTTGAGACTAATCCCACATTAATTTCCCTTTACAAAAATGGCAGAGTGAGTGGTGTACAAGAAAGGCAATAGAGAATGTAATTTACTTCTGATCCCTGCAAAAGTATATATTTTTTAAATCTAAATAAATGTACATTTTGAATCTTATAAGTGTATGTTTAATTTTGTTATAGTTAGTAGGAAATTCAGCAGGTGTTAATTTTACAAATTCTTCACTTGCAGCCTCAAGAATACTGAATATTCAAATTTGAGAACAATTTTCCTAACAAATTCCAAAGTTATAGGTTTCTGGGTTAGTTTAGCACTCAGGAGCTCTTAGTTCTCACAGAGTGCTGAGCAGAATTTCAGAAAAATTGGCTATTACACACACACACACTATTTACTTTGTTACATACACACTTGTTGCAATGCATTCGATATAGCTTAGCAATAGTATAGTACTGTCTCTTTGTTTGGGGCACTTAACTTTTCTTGATCCACAAATACGATAGCAATAGGACATTTGTCGGTATAAATTTATGGCTTATTTCCCAATAGCAGATTGCTAAGCTTCGCTAGTGAAAATTGGCCATCTGAATCACTTTCAGAAAAATCTAAATTTTCATTATCATTATATGGCTTAAAAACATTGACTGAAACAATTTCAGAGCTTGGCCGCAGAAAGACGTATTATGCTAGCTGTACTTGTAGTTCGAACATTTGTACTCATGGCCCTCGAAAACTTAGAAAATGCACTGTTAAAAAAATGTAGCTGTGAATTCGATCAATCTATGCACTTGTGGCTTTAGATACAAAATGTAGTTGAAAGGCAATCATTAGAGTGACTCTCCCTGAATAATTTAATTTAAGCTGTGAACATTAGAAACAAGTACGGAGTCGTGTGCAAAGCATTAAGTACAGGACACATGAAGGGTCCACTAAACGTTCTAAGGGCATCCATAAGCACCTACTCATGTAATTTTAATTCATGGAGATGGATATAATTTAATATTTATTTTTAGGTATAAAAACTGATTGCATAAGGACATTGCTGAAATAACAATGAATACAAAAAATATATTTTTTTTCCCTAGCCGGTAAAAGAAAAGCTATTGCATCTTCAAAGGCAACAAAGAAAATAAAACTATCAACAAGCGTTGAAGACGACGACGATGACAGTGATGATATTGATAGTGAGGAAGAGGAAGGGGTATGTTATTATTGTAAATTTGTTGCTTTACCTGTAACCATGGGGCCTACACCTTAAGTGCTAAACAACTCCTACATATCTTGGTCATTCCATTTTATTCTATCAAAGACAAATGTTTTATTAACTCTTTGTATTTGAATTATTAGTGTGATCACTATTGTCCTGTAGTTATTTAACCGTCTTGAGACAAAAATATTATTTTTAACTCCTTGAGGATATAAGGGGTTAAGGCAGGGCTGTTTTAACTGGTGTCCTGTGGGTCATTACCAGCTATATTGATGATCTTTTTATGCTTTTGCTATTTTCAACATTTTGGCCCCTGAATAAACTTATTTAAATAGTCCTGAGTTAAGGTAACAACTGCTCAGGAGTCAAATAGTTAACATATTTCATTATATTGGTGACTCAGTTGAAAATAAAATATAACACTGAAAGCAGACAAAAAGTGAATCCATAAAATGTCATGATTCAAGCTTGATTTGGATCAATGTAAATAAATATAAATAAAGCACATTAATCATGCTGAAATGTAGAATTAAAGTCAGCAGGAATAATTTGGGAAGTTATTCGCTTACCACGAATAAACCATAGAAAAACCAAATTAAGCCCCAAAAAAATATTTAAGATTTTATGTCCAGTTTCTTTCAGAAGTTAAAAAAAAATAGATTTTAAAAGTCGATAAAACCAGTTTCTTTGCATGAGATTTTATACCATTCCTGCTGCAGAATGGGCCTGCCTAGAGTCTTGCAGAAAACAAACTTCATAGCTCTAGTGATGATCCACATCTGTTATAAAATTTGGTTATCATTATGTTTAAAAATTTGTGTTACAAAAATGCTTAATGTGTTTATTTTAATCCTTTTCAGTTCTCTGATGATTTTGATGATGGTAAGTAAACTGAGAAAGTTCTAGTGTTCATGTTTGTGATGGGGAGTTGGTAAAACAGATGTTCTTAACTCTGGTTTTATTTTTAATTATGTAGAGATCTTGTTATAACAGGCTTATTTTTCTAACTTTGCCTGGAAACAAGAATAGGAACACTGTTTTACTTTGAATTTGCAAGAATATGACCACTTGTTCTAGTAAAATCCCTATTCACACATTCAGGCATATTGAACACTTTGGGTAGTGCACTTATAATTTTTACTAATTACAAGTCTTTACTGCCTGCAGTCGTTTTGCTTTGACTTGCATCAGCAGAGAGCATTTTTGGTGGGAGATTTTTAGTTGTTGTTCATCTGACTGCTGCCTTATGCATTTACTTTTACACGTGCAAGCCTCAAGATTTTGCTGGGACTGTTTGATGCATTTTTGTTAAGAGGATTTTGTGTTACTTCCACTGGCACAGAAACTGAGCGGTTAAGATTGACTATGCTTACTGTCATGCCAATTGACATGACTTGCCATAATATTTTTTGTACACATTTTATGCTGTGTCGACCAAAAGCCCTGGTCAGTTTAAAAAAAAAAAATCTCTTATTTGAAGGGATTCAGAAGTGCTACATGCCAGGCCAGCAGTTTTACTATCAGGTCTGCCTTGTACTTGAGATTTCCATAATTAACAACGCACGGTTAAAGTTGTGTAAGTTGCTGCAAACCAGCCACAGCATGTGTTAGCCGCTGTTTAGTATCAAGCATTTTAGCAACAGAAAAAATTATAAGTTCAAATGCTTATTTCGTTGTTACTGGTGCTATCTTAGCTTTTTAAATGCTGCTCTTAATACTTCAGAATTCGATGACGAGGATAGTGAAGAAGAAGAGGTCTCCCCTGAAAAGAAAGTAAAGACCAAACCACAAGCAAAAATACCAAATGCTGAAACTCCAGTCTCTCAGAAAAACAAACAAGGTGGGAAAGTTCCAAAGCAAGATGGAAAAACTGCAACACCTAAAACACCAGCCGCAGAAACTGTAAGTTAGATTTTTTGCCCATCTATAAGTCAGTAACTGCATCCTTAATATGGGGAACTCTTGAGATTTTTGTCTGTGATAAATACAAAGATTGTGAGTCTGTGTTAAATATGAAGGTCGTGGGTTAGATGTCCTTGGCAGGCGGTGAGTCATTCTGCGAAGAGGCAGACCCATTTAGATTAAAATCTAGTATATAAAGTTGATTCTCTTGTCACGATCTGTATAAAGTATATTTATTAACAATCCATCAACCATTGACTCAAGTAGTACGTGGTATATTCTTAACTGTGTGTGTGTGTAAAAGTAGCAGTAATAATCCTTAAGCGGATGCTGTTCTGTTACGTTTCATTCCAAAACTTCCCTGAGGTGAATATTCATTTATTCTGTGCAGGTACTTGCGCCTGTTTTTTCCCCCAGCACTTTCAATCTTTGGAGAGCCAATCTGCATTTCTTCTGTTTTGTTTTTGTGAATTACCAGTGAGAATGAGCATGATATTTGCTGTCTCTTTCCTAGGTCTCAAAGGATGACAATGAAGGTAAAAAACAAGGTGGGAAATTCCAAACAAGCATGGATAAACCTGTGGCTCAGGAAAAGAAAGATAGAGAGAATTTAAAATCAGTGTCTGAGTCTTCACAGCCAGGAAAGCAGAAAGCAGCAGTTGTAAGTGTTCAGGTGTATTTCTTTACAACTGACACAAGAACTTTGCGGGCAGATTTCCATTTTCAGTTTTACACTTAAGCTTGTTTACAGTTGAAAGTTACATTTTAAGTTATGCTATTTTCAGTTGTTTTGTTATGCAGCATTTTGTTAATTTCATATGGTCTTTGATTATTGTTTGCACTATTTAGTTATCATAATACCTACCAATATCAGTGAATTGGCAGATTGCCTGCTGACAGAATTGTATCATGTTTTAGAATTTCGAAGTACGTTTGCGATGGCCAGCTGTCAACATAAAAAGATAATCTGTATGGAAATACCTTTTCCTGCCGCTGTAATAATGATAACATTAAGCAGTAATTCGCTATAAAAACACGAGTACCTAAACTATTTCTACACTAACTAGTAATGTGTCTGCTTTTCTTAAAAAAAAACTTTTAAAAACAAATATTGTGTATTCTTCAGCCGTCAGCTTCTGGAACCGAAGAAAGTGCAAAAAAGAAGAAGAAAAAGAAGAAGAAGAAGAATAAAGAAGGAGATGCATCACAGGTAAGTCTGAGATTATCTAAAAATTAACCTGTACATTCTATGTGGCTAGTGGGGGGGGGGGGGGGGGGGGGGGGGAACTAGAGTGCACCAGCCTGAGAGGCAAGGAATCAACATTCTATATATAAATGTGCACTTAGAAGTTCTTGAACAGGGTAACATCCATGAGTTGAATTACAACCATAACTGCCGCCAGAAATTAGTTTGTGAATGCAGATAAGAATAAAAACCGGTAAATATCCGTTACTGAGGAAATTATGCATAGTTCTGGCTCTGATTCCCTTTCTTTATAGAAACATATTAACCCACTGGGTACCAGGCAACTCTTCTTGCATTTGTTGCTTTCTTTTCTCCTCCTGGTCAACTTCAGATGCTATTTTCTTCTGTATTACTTAAATTACTGTCTCAAATAGAAACAATTCAATCCATTCAGATGCAAAAATGCATTGGTTAAATTATTGCATGGTCAGTGTAGAATGAATTAAAATATAACTTGTCTAGGACTAAAATAGTTTTAAGTATTAGGAAGATGCTGTCTCTGTTTTGTTTCATTATTCTAGTTTACTTATTTTATTTTATAAAGGAATATGTTTTTGTGTGCCTGAGTCTTCCAACTGTCAATTTCACAGAATGACAGTACAGCCAGTACACCAGCTGCAACCCCAAAACCTGAATCAACTCCCAAAAAACGAGTAGTTGCTGGCGGCACTGTTGTTGAAGATCTGAAAGTGGGCCATGGACCGGAAGCTAAACCAGGCAAAATGGTATGACATTTTCTGCATTCTTTTCTCACACGCAGACATTTGGGGGGGGGGGGGGTATTTATTTGTTTTATCTAGAAACATATGTGGCACTAATAAAAAAAAAAGGTTTATTCAAAAAGTCTGGTTCAGATCTATTTGCTAACTTTTATCACAGGGTCACAGTTTGGACATAGTTATTCCTTGTCGTCCCCCCCAACCCCCTTTCCAGATTCCTTGAGATTATTGCTACAGATATCACCCATTTTGTAGTACTAGAATTACAACATATAAAACACTGATAAGACCAATTGCCAGATATAACGTTAAAGCCTGGAAAACAGTTATGAGCAAGAGTGATCAGTTTGCCATGAAGTTGGGAACTATGATTGATAACCCCACTGGTAAAAGTCCTTCAAACTCGTGTGAAATACGAAGTTCGGAAACATTCATTGATAGTTACAAATGTTAGTCTGCGACTGAAAGGCAAAAAATTAGGGAAGTGCCTACAATTAAATATTAATAGTGCACAAATGTTCATTACTATTTGGTACTGTGTTCCATACAGGCATCAGTATATTACATTGGTACATTGGCAAAGACGAGCAAGAGGTTTGATTCTTGTACAGAAGGCAAGCCCTTTAGATTCAGACTAAACCAAGGGGAGGTGATCAAGGGCTGGGACAATGGTGTTCTTGGTGAGTGTTACTACTTTGTATATTTCCCTTTGCTGTGGGATAAACAAGAAATTATTTAGAACTGCTGAGTTGTTTTATAAAACAATGATTAGAATACCGTAAAAGAAGTTTGTTGATGTAGACAGCAGGACACTGGTCGTGGTAGTCAGAACCAGCTAAGGTGTGTGTAGCAACTCGCTGCCCACATCACCCAACCATGAAAATGGATAGATAGAGACTGTCAGACCTGTACATGTCATATTGGCAGTTAGTCTCAAGGCCAAGATGCCTAGGAGGGCTGTTAGGATGAACATGAAAGTTTGGGGAGTGATCACGGATGCAGCTGGTCCTTACGTACATCTTGGTGGTTGTAATATTCAAAGAACTTTGAAGACTGAAATGGAGAAATATAAAGAAAAATTAAGTCTTGAAATAGAATTGACTGCCTACAAGAGGCCAGGAAACAATTGTTTGGCATGTCACAGGAGGCCACAGTAACAGCAGGAAAAGGAGGCTGTATTGTGGCCAAAAGACAGACAGAGATATATATCTTTTCAGCATAATTATTGAATAATCACATGTTCTTGCTTTATTTTTCAAGGTATGAAAGTTGGCGGGAAACGCAGGATTACAGTGCCAGCAAATCAAGGGTATGTACTTGGAGCAAAATATAAATCTCTTACTAACTATATATAAACACAGTGTGCAAATTGTTAAGAATTTCTTGTTAAATTAAATTACTGCCAGTGAGACTGGAGTTATTGTGGATCAGTTTATTCTTTCTATAAAATATTTAGAGAATGCAAGTTCATTTGTCAGGTGTCTGGGCGTGAGGATGTAATAATGTTGGCTGGCTGAGATTTTTCAAAACATTGGTATCACTGTCCTATGCTTATTGATTTTTAAAAAAGTATTTTGTAAGATTCACATAGAAGTAATATTTTGTTAAACCCCTGATGAGATTTAGCATCACAACTTCCTGTTTTCCAACTAAATATTGCTGAAGAAGTTGTAAAATCTAGTGACCTGAATTAATCAGGTATTTTGATCAGTTAATATGTGTGAATAGTAAGATTTTTTTTTTAACTTGTTATTTTCTGTACATTTTCCCTAATTTTATTTCAGATATGGAAATGTAAAGCAAGGTCCAATTCCTCCTAACTCAACTCTTGTCTTTGAAGTGGAGCTGAAAGCAGTCAGTTAAATTCATCATAATTAATGCCATAAATTTATGTCTCTATCACCACCTGGAATTTTGTTTATGTCGTTTCTTGTTAATTTCTTGCACCACAAGTTGACATCAAATGTAACATCATGTTCATGACTTTAACCTGGCATCTGTTTAAGCGTGTTTACAGTTTTTCCATTTAATTTTCAGAATTTTAGTAGCTCAAGTATTCATTGTGAAAGCGTTATTCTGGTTGGATGCTGGTTTTAAGAATTTTGTGAATGGCATAAACTGCATTTCTGTTTGTACATGCTCATTTTAAAACTGCTCACCATTTCTAAATATCCCCCATTATTGCATAATTCTACTGATGTTGTTATCTCTGGTGATTGCCTGCTGTTAGATCGCGATCTGACTTTTTTTTCATCACCTCGCAGTGCAGAGTATGTCACAGACTGTCTGTTAATGAGACTGCACTGTCATGTGTCAGACCAAATCGTTTCAGTGACAGCTTATAATAACAGATTGGAAAGTGATAGACTGAAATGGAGATATTTATGTTGGTACATTTGTTTCATTTGTTTGTCTTAGGATTATTAATTACATCTTGGAAACCTGCAAATGTTTTAATACCAGTGAACTGTGTAAATGTATTATTCTGGTAATTGTCTTGAAATGCCTTTGCATTTACACATGATTTTAGAAGTAATAAAGTATACATTGGGAAATGTTTAAACTCTGTTTTCAGTTGTAATCATTGTTAATTACTGGTCTATGCAAATATTGCGCACACTCCCCTCCCCCACCCCCTCCCCCGGTATTATTGACCTTTAATCATATTATCACAGGCACAATTGGAATAGCATCTCGTCCTTGGCTACTGAAGCGTGGGACAGAGCTTTCTTGGGAATCTTTCAAGGGCAGTAATACTGATCCTGGATTCATTCAGTCATACTAGTACTAATGTTTTGTCTGCTTGTGTTTAAAAAAGTCTTCATACCATTGTTGGTCTGTGATAGCCATACCTCACAAGATATAGTCTTCATACCATTGTTGGTCTGTGATAGCCATACCTCACAAGATAAGATAGTCTTCATACCATTGTTGGTCTGTGATAGCCATACCTCACAAGATATAGTCTTCATACCATTGTTGGTCTGTGATAGCCATACCTCACAAGATATAGCCTTCATACCATTGTTGGTCTGTGATAGCCATACCTCACAAGATAGTCTTCATACCATTGTTGGTGTGTGATAGCCATACCTCACAAGATAGTCTTCAAACCATTGTTAGTGTGTGATAGCCATACCTCACAAGATATAGTCTTCATACCATTGTTGGTGTGTGATAGCCATACCTCACAAGATATAGTCTTCATACCATTGTTGGTGTTTGATAGCCATACCTCACAAGATATAGTCTTCATACCCTTGTTGGTCTGTGATAGCCATACTTCACAGGACTTATTGGGTGAGGAGTAGGCCAAGAGGATTTGGGTGGTTTAAAGTGCAGGGGAACAGACAGCTGAACTTGTAATCAGATTGCAACTGTCAGCTCCACTATCTTTCCATGCCGGTGTGGAAGGGGACAGCATATGTAGGAATGTTCCGAGGTAGTGTCAGGTTTCAATCTATTCATTGGTCTGTGGTGGAAATGTTTCCCCATGTATAAGGCTAGTTGTTGACATCACTTGAAACATCTCCATAGACTTTCAGCCCCTCTTTTCAATTTTTCTCTCCCTGTTTGGGGAAGTGGAAGCTTGTCTCCATTTAGCACTAAGGTATTGATTTTTTCCACACAATCACCACCAGCCTCACATGTGGATTAAGCAGAAGCCTGTTGATGTGATGAAATAACCCTTTCATGTTCTATAGGTTATCAGGAAATCAGTTACAACTTCAAAGCAAATGAACCCCACTGCTCCATTCAGTGGACACTGACTGCGCTCTCAGCAACAGCTAGTAGCATGCACACGCATTAAATGCATAAGGCAGCAGTCAGAAGTGTTGACAAGCAGTCTGGCTCTAGAAACGCAGTTTATTGTCAGTGGAAGCAACAGTTTTAACCAATTAGTAGTTGCACACACCTAATTACAAAAGGCATCAGTAGTTCTGTGGTATGGGCTACTCAACCATTTTCTAAATCTGCATTTCACAACATACACTATGCTTGGCACAGTAGAAATGCATTTAATGTGATTCAACAGCTCACAGTGTCGCATCAGGCTCTCAACAGTAGCAGGGTAATGGAGTCTTATACAAATCACAACAGCCTTAACATTGCCCTGTACTCTGCATGTGCCTGAGCAGCGAGGAACCAACAGTCTGCATACAAGTAATCCAGATGTGTAAAATGAGTGCTTGCAAAATTTAAGTTCTGGAACAAGACTAAAATCCAAAAGTGGACGAACAACCAGAACTTTCTGCTGGAGTTTGCAGCTGTTGAACGCTAAGAATTTTATACAGAGTATGTTATAAATGATGTAGTTGCACTTCATTTCATAAATTGTTTTATAGCTTAGACTTAATAGCATAAATTGTTTTGTGGTTAAACATAGTATAGTGATTTTTGTTGCCACAATCTAAATAGTGTGAATTGTTTAATAGTTACACTTGAAAGAGCACATTGATTTGTAGCTAATCAATTTTTAGGTATACTTCATAATATAATTGTTTTGTAGGTAGACACTATCATACATTTTTGTCATAGCTAATATAAATTTGAAGATACACTTTACAAACTATATTAGTTTCATAGCTACACTTTATAATATACATTGTTTTGTAGCTTCAGTTTCAATTATAATTTAAAAGTTCCATTTGCAATGGCTGTATATGTAGGTTACTTGCAACACTTTACATATGTTAATGTAATTCAGCTGTATAACATACAGTGAAGTGCATTTATACATGCATGGATATAAATATGTTGCCAACTAACTAATAATAGTTATAAATTGAAGAAACAGGTATATTTTGCACCAGGCTGGGTACTAATGTTTAGAACAAGACAATCAAATGCCTATTTTATCAAGCAGACATGCAGCGTAGCGAAGTGGCTTAGATTCTCTAGTCTGACAGGTGAGTCTCTTTCTGCACAAGGTATCCTCCTTTGAGCAAGAGGGTCTGTCATCCGCTAAAACATAGAAGTTGGCCTCAAACTTTTGGTATTCTGTCCAGTTTGTGTGAATCCTGAGGAAAATTGTTTTGGAAAACTTTCAGTAAGTTCACATTGAATTGCTAGTGTGAAATTGCCAGCTAACAATGAATTATTAGCGGACTTAGGATTAGTAAGCAGTTTATAAAGTTGAAAAGAGAAGTCAATTACATAGAATGGCTCTAGAATCTTTCAAAACACCTATAAGATGATTTTGAGACATTTTTGAGAATTCTTTGCAATGACAGCGAGTATGTTATTGTTTAGAGCAGTGTTCTTCAACCTTTTTAAATCCACAGACCAAAACATGGGAGAAAACAAAACTGCAGACTGACATTCACGCCACATCCAGAAGGGAGGTTGTCCTTGCTGCTATCTTTGAGAATTTTTAGAGGCAAGGTCCCAAAGTCTTTCATAGTGCAACTTTCATACCACTGTTTGTCTAAAAGATGCAAGAATGGGTTACCCACCACCACCCCTTTGTTTTTTTTTACCTTTTAAATAGTTGGCCATAGAAGTCAAACCATGGTATGTCACCCTGGGTCACACTAAATGTAGATAGTATTTTATTGTAAAAACTCTGTCGACAGTAACTGCTATGACAGTACCTTTATAAAAACTCAAATGACAGTAACTTCTATGAAAGAACCTTTATAATAAAAACTAAAACAGCAGAAACTGCTGGGAAAGTACCTTTATGAAATCTCAAATGACAGTAAGTGATATGAGAGTACCTTTATAAAAACCTTAACGACAGTAACTGCTCTGAAAGTAACTTTAAATAAAATAAACAACAGTAACTGTTCTGAAAGTACCTTTATAATTTTTCAAACAATAGCACCTAATGTTCTTTCTTAAGAATGTGTACAGGTGAAGTTTAATAGCCCTACATGGACTCACCTGTTAGATAATGCTTCAAAGTTACTAGGTGACAGGTCAGCGAGTTGGTATTCTTCAGTAAATGTGTAATGCTTCTTGACTTCTGCCACACCTTTTTCTGTGAATGGTAGCGTAAATCATATCAGGGGCGCGTACACAAAGAAAACAAGCCTTGTTTAAGTGCTTAATTTAATTATAATAACAGTAAACTGCTGGTTGGCAAATACGTATAATAATATATCTGAAACAATATAATAACAAGGGAGAATTTAAAAAGAGAACTATACATGGAATAAAGGGGGTGGAGAGGCAGGTTTACCCCCTTACAAGATGCTTAAGCTCCCAGATTTCAAGGCTCCATATTTTGTTTATTTTTAGCAAGGCTTCAGCCTCTTGAGGGTCCCTTCCCCAATTTGGAAAATCAGTGAGAGAGATGAGTCCCCATCCCTTAAGCGTTTCACTGATAATTTATAAGGAGGCTGAATGCCCTACTCCTTTTCCAGTCTTTTCAGTGTCAGCATTTCTGACCAAACCCACTGTACCCAAACTGTTCTTTTAACTTCATCTTTGCTATAGTAATATTATGTAGCTCATTCAGACACATAAATTAAAATACTTTCAAGCGCAGTCTTCTAGGATAGAATGTTTGTGTATCCTTTACAGGACGTTGCAGAACCAACCCCAACAGCTCCTGGCTGTTGTGTGGTTTTTCTAGGCAAATCTACGTCTAGTAGTTTGCCATTGCTTCCTGGACGTACGGCTTTCTTGATACCACTGTCGAAACCAACGCAAGGCGCATGGCCCGCAGTTGAGATCAAACCCGGCATCCCGAAGCGTTCGCATCGACTTAGCCACAGAGCCGACTAGAATGAGTAACAGTAATACATTTCTGCTAAATAAGTAGTTAACAAGTAATGAAAGTCATACTTTTTAATAATTATTGTGTTAAACAAGACTTGAGCACCCTCACACAGGATGTCTTCTGTGTGACCGTACGCCCAAAAGCTTAAAAATAATTAAAGATCACAGGACGCACTAGACAATATAAACAAAAATCATGCTTGGTCTAGGAAATCACAACCTAGTAGGAAATATGAACAAAATGACTTTTTTTTTTTTTAACAGGACCAGCAAACTTGCGCACAATTTTGTATTTGACATAATATTCCAAGGTAACCCAGCCTACAATTGGTACCGGAAAATGATGTCGTCTTTCAAAACCATATTGTTATATAGTGGTATAGGAATCACAGCCCCTAGAGCTGACGAGTGTGGTTAGAAAAACTCGCCCTATTTGAGAAAAATCGACTACAGTTAGATCATGGGATTTCACGACCATTTTTTCCATCAACGTATTTAGTATTTCTTCTCAGACGCTCTGTTTGTAAAAATTACTTTTCCTCCTTTATTGTCATGCAATGCAGTCCATAGTATTTCATTCCCAAGCACGCATCTTATTGTAAATTGATATCATAAGTTCATGTATCGGAACCGTAATTTTAGTTAACCTACCATTTGATTCTGGAATACTGATATAGTACTGGTCATAGTCAAGGGGTTTAAAAGTAGCCGAATCCATTTTGTAGACACGGATCGATGGATTGACCCCAAGATTGCTTCCAAAGTATGTAGTTACAGATGGAGCGGCCAAAGAGACGCCAGTTGTTTTGTCCAGATTATCAGGGTCGCGGTTCTGTTTGAGATAAATGTTTGAATATAACTTATAAACGTAATCTTAGTGCACACATCTCCATCTCTTCTCCTCCTCTTTTCTTCCACATTCTTTCTCTAGATGAGTGTTGTAAATAAAATGCAAACCTGTCAATTAGGCAAGACAGTAACTTATAGAACTAGTGCAAGCTATTCCGCATAGGCAATGACGTTAAGCTCTAATATAACAGAGTACAATGCCCTTTTCAATTGTGAATACAACAATTTGTTTTAATACTTATATTAATACAGTAATAAGTCCAGGTGTAAATACAGTGATCTGTCCAGGTGTGAATACAGTTGTATGTCCTGGTGTAAATACAGTGATTCGTCCAGGTGTGAATACAGTGACCTTTCCAAGTATACAGAGTATATCCAGGTGTGAATACAGTGACATGTCAAGGTGTGAATACAGTAATTTGTTCTAGTGTTAATACAGTAATTAGGCCAGGTGTGAATACAGTGACTTTTCCATGTGTGAGTACAGTTTCCTTTCCAAGTGTGAATACAGTGATCTGTTCAAGTGTGAATACATTGACATGTCCAGGTATGGAGACAGTGACCTGTCCATGTGTGAATACAGTTACCTTTCCAAGTGTAAATACAGTGACCTGTCCAAGTGTGAATACAGTGATCTGTTCATGTGTGGATACAGTGATCTGTTCATGTGTGAATACAGTGACCTGTCCATGTGTGGATACAGTGACCTGTCCATATGTGAATACAGTGACCTGACCATGTGTGAATACAGGAAACTGTCCATATGTAAATACAGTGACTTGTCCATGTGTGAATACAGTGATCTGTCCATGTGAGAATGCAGTGACCTGTCCATGTGTGAATACAGTTACCTTTCCAAGTGTAAATACAGTGACCTGTCCATGTGTGAATGCAGTGATCTATCCATGTGTGGATACAGTGACCTGTCCATATGTGGAGACAGTGACCTGTTCATGTGAGAATACAGTGACCTGTCCATGTGTGAATACAGTGATCTGTCCATGTGTGGATACAGTGACCTGACCAAGTGTGAATACAGTGACCTGTCCATGTGAGAATACAGTGACCTGTCCAAGTGTAAATACAGTGACCTGTCCATGTGAGAATACAGTGACCTGTCCATGTGTGGATACAGTGACCTGTCCATGTGAGAATACAGTGACTGTCCATGTGTGAATACAGTGACCTGTCCATGTGTGAATACAGTGACCTGTCCATGTGAGAATACAGTGACCTGTCCATGTGAGAATACAGTGACCTGTCCATGTGAGAATACAGTGATCTGTCCATGTGTGGATACAGTGACCTGTCTATGTGTGGATACAGTGACCTGTCCATGTGAGAATACAGTGACCTGTCCATGTGAGAATACAGTGACCTGTCCATGTGAGAATACAGTGACCTGTCCATGTGAGAATACAGTGATCTGTCCATGTGTGGATACAGTGACCTGTCTATGTGTGGATACAGTGACCTGTCCATGTGAGAATACAGTGACCTGTCCATGTGAGAATACAGTGACCTGTCCATGTGAGAATACAGTGACCTGTCCATGTGAGAATACAGTGACCTGTCCATGTGTGAATTCAGTGACCTGTCCATGTGTGAATACAGGAACCTGTCCATGTGTGAATACAGTGACCTGTCCATATGTGAATATAGGAACCTGTCCATGTGTGGATACAGTAACCTGTCCATGTGTGGATGCAGTAACCTGTCCATGTGTGGATACAGTAACCTGTCCATGTGTGAATACAGGAACCTGTCCATGTGTGAATACAGGAACCTGTCCATGTGTGGATACAGTAACCTGTCCATGTGTGAATACAGGAACCTGTCCATGTGTGGATACAGTGACCTGTCCATGTGTGAATACAGTGACCTGTCCATGTGAGAAAAAAAAATGACCTTTCCATGTGTGAATACATTGACCTGTCCGTGTGTGAATATAGGAACCTGTCCATGTGTGGATACAGTGACCTGTCCATGTGTGAATACAGTGACCTGTCCATGTGAGAAAAAAAATGACCTGTCCATGTGTGAATACATTGACCTGTCCGTGTGTGAATATAGGAACCTGTCCATGTGTGGATACAGTGACCTGTCAATATGTGGATACAGTGACCTGTCCATGTGTGAATACATTGACCTGTCCATGTGTGAATACAGGAACCTGTCCATGTGTGAATACAGTGACCTGTCCATGTGAAAAAAAATGACCTGTCCATGTGTGAATACAGGGATATGTCCATGTGTGAATACAGTGACCTGTCCATGTGTGAATTCAGTGATCTGTCCATGTGTGATATAATAATTTAATACTAATTTATGGCATGTAGAAAATACCATCATAATGGCATTTTTTTTTTTTTAATTTGGCGAATAATGAAATGATTGATTGTACGTGCCAGAAGAAAGACATCAGGCGATTCATGAATGATTGATTGTACGTGCCAGAAGAAAGACATCAGGCGATTAATGAATGATTGATTGTACGTGCCAGAAGAAAGACGTCAGGCGATTAATGAATGATTGTTTGTACGTGCCAGAAGAAAGACATCAGGCTATTAATGAATGATTATTTGTACGTGCTAGAAGAAAGACGTAAGGCGATTAATGAGTGATTGATGATTGACTATACGTGCCAGAAGAAAGACGTCAGAGTGCTCATGTCCGAACAGCTGAAGGATGATGACGTCGCTGAAGTCTGTAACCAGCTGGCTGTGTTCATCAGAGTAGGACGGGTAGGTCTGAAAGGGGTTGGGTTTCATGTGGCTGATTAGAATCACCTGTGGGGATCAATAATAATCTTTGTTAATTATATTGGCACTGCATGGTAGTCAGGTACCTTTCAGTCATCTTTTCTAGCCAGTTCTACAGCTCTCTGTGTGTCTTCATAGTCATTAAATCATCAGTGTATTGTATTTATCTTCGCAGAGGTATCCAGAAACTGTATCCCCCATTACAGTTCTCTCTCCAGGCCACGTTGACGTTTATCATCGTCAAAGTACTTCATAAAAGTTATCAGCGTTGATGAATTTACTAAACAGTAGGCTGCGATAAGGGCGTAGATAAGGTAAAAACATGAGGGAACCCTTAAGGGGTCCAAGCCTAGTTTGAGTGGCCAGTTCAAATAATAATTTTCTGAATGGCACACAAATACAAGTAAATTTGAAATACTATAAATTATATAAATAAATACTTTAAAATACTGAGCTTTATAGGTAGACAACAAATCAAATGGTTTGACCACGTGAAAAGATTAGCATCAGACGGGGCACCACAGAGAACAATGTTATACAAATACAACGGTATCAGATTCACAGGTCGACCACGCTGAAGATGGGCCGCAGAAATATCAGGGACACTGAAAAGTTATTATATACGAAGCGAACAGAAGGACATGTTTTAGAGATCTCTTCCTGCCCTGACGCCGCGAGGTATTTCACGAGTAGAGAAAAGAAGAAGTGGAGGGGCCGTCTCTTTAGCACCCCCTCCCCCACCAATTTGCCTAGGAGTGTCTAAGCACCTTGATTTCGGTGACCCAGCATTTGCAACATCTACACCCAGGTCCAGTATATGTAACACTTTTAACGGTCCTGTTTCCACTCCTTGGATATGTGTTACTGGACTCATATAGTTATATACAAAGGTGCATTGGAGGGAGCGATAGATAGTCGAAGTTGCCCCTGTAGATTCTGGGGTCCCCTTGTGGGGAAAAACTAGAATAAACCCGTTCAACTAATTAGGGGCTTTCTTCGAAGTCGGATTACATGTGCCTTGAGAGGAAAGGAACTAACACACTACATACACGTGAGTCAGATATGTAACACAGATGTGCACGCAACACTCACGTTCTGGAACAAGACAAAATTCTAGTGGTGAATGAACAACTACAACATTCCTCCAGAGTTTACAGCCGGTGAACGCAAAGAAGAAGTAGATTGTCGAAGTTCAATGGTAACAACCTATGCCGTATTCAACGGCTGCAGTCGACCGTCGTCACTACTTAATGTGTGTCTGAACCGGTCTAGAACAGTATGTAACTATGAGACTATACACCACTCATACACTGACTGGACTTAAGACGTGCATAACCATTTTGTTCGGTTTTATATCTTTTCTTGATAACCATACTGGACCTTCATTCTTTGGTGCATGTCAAAAGGGGGTGGTCATCTTTAAATTGATATTATGACGTCACCGAGCCCGTCTGCACCGTATTGTTATGTGCTTAACACTCTTGTTATTCTTTTAACATGCAATACTGTCAGGTTATAAAACGAATGAATGAATATAGAATTGACATCACTGCAGTCGGAATGTTACCACCCGTGCTTCGGTCCTATTGTTCAGTAACCAACCAAGAGTTGATATGCTAATAGTAGTACCAGTTGCAATCTGATTAAAAGTAAAGGTTACAAGAAAATAGCATGGTTATTGTAGTTTCTAACACACTTTTAACGTTGTCACATGAAGCACCCTCGTAACAAAACGGTCAGTTAAACACATTCAGAGTAACATTAGGCTATACCGAATATACGTTTAACAGACAAGGTGAATGAACAATGTTATTTAAAGCCATGTATTTGTGTCACCTTTTCATTGTTCTGTCTCGCAGTTTGAAGAGTGTGTCTAATAAATTGGCGCTGTTCTTCTTTCGCTGGATCCAGCTCTGATCGGAACGCGAAAACATTGTAGAGGTAACTGAAATTAGACAAAACTCCATATTAATTAGTACGTTCATCTAACGGCGTAACTATTTTTGATTTGTTTTATAGTTGATTGGTTCGATAGTTGATTTGTTTTATAGTTGATTGGTTGGTTTGATGGGTAATTGGTTGGATTGGTGATTGGTTACATGGTTGATTGGTTGGATAGTTGATTGGTTAGATGGTTGATTAATTAGATGGTTGATTGGTTAAATTGTTGATGGGTTAGATGGTTGATTAGTTGGATGGTTGATTGGTTGTATAGTTGATTAGTTGGATGGTTGATTGGTTAGATGATTGATTGGCTGGTTGTATGGATAATTGGTTGGATGGGTGATTGGTTACATGGTTGATTGGTTCGATAGTTGATTGGTTAGATGGTTGATCGCTTAGATGGTTGATTGGTTGAAAAGTTGATTGGTTAAATATGGGATTTGTTAGATCATTGATTGGTTACATAGTTGGTTGGATGGTTAATTGGTTGGATGAGTGAGTAGTTGATTGGTTAGATAGCTGATTGGTTGGATGGTTGGATAGCTCATTGGTTAGATGGCTGATTGGTTGAACGGTTGATTAGTTGGATGGTTGATTGGTTGGATAGCTGATCGGTTATATTGTTGATTGGTTGGATGGTTGATTAGCTGAATTGTTGATTGACTGGATAGTTAATCGTTTGGATAGTTGTTTGGTTGGATAGGTAATATGTTGGATGGATGATTGGTTAGATGCTTGATTGTTTGGATAGTTGACTGGCTGGATGGTTGATTGGTTGGAAGGTTAATTGGTTAGATGATTGATTTGTTGGGTAGTTGACTTCCTAGATGATTGATTGGTTGATTGGTTATATAGCTGATTGGTTGGATGGTTGATTGTTTAGATAGTTGATGGGTTAGATGGTTGGTATATTGATTAGATAGATGTTTGATCGATTAGATGGTTGACTGGTTAGATTGTTGATTGGTCGGATGGGTGATTAGTTGGATGGGTGATTGGTTGGATAGTTGATTGGTTGGGTGGTTGATTGGTTGGATAGCTGATTGGTTATATGTTTGGATGGTTAATTGGTTGGATGGTTGATTGGCTGGATAGATTATTGGTTGAGTAGTTGATTGGTTGGATAGTAGATTATTTGGTAATTGATTGGTTGGATGGGTAATTATTTGTTTGATCAGATAGTTCTATGGTTGGTAATTTGATGAGGTATTTTATTATCTGGTTGCATATTTGGTTGTATGGTTGGTTGTTTGTCTTGATGATTGGCTGTTTGGTTGGATGATTGATTAGTTGGTTTTATGGTTGGTTATTTGGTTGGACATTAGATTCTGCTCCTCAGAGTCCATCCCACGTGGCCTCGGTAGCTGTGTCCACCCACAGCATTTTGTCTTGTATTCTTTCGATCAACTCGGATACAAATAATCCTTAATGCCATAATGTCAGACTGTACAGCATCTTTTCTTTCGGTCTCCCTCTGCCTCTCTTTCCCTCCAACTTTCCTAATGTCACGATGTACTTCAGTTTTCTCCTTCTCATCACAATGCCAAAGAATGTAGATTGTCTCGTTCTGATTTGGGAAATCAGTTCTCTTCGTGAGTCAGTTTCTTTTAAGACATCTTCATTGCTGTTTATCTGTCCAGGGTATTCTCATCATTCGTCTATAAAACCACATCTCTGCAGCTTCAAAATAATCTTTCACTAATCTATCAACTGTCCATGATTCACATCTGTATAACAGGATAGGATTTATGAAGCTTTTAACAATTCTCTTTCTCGTCTCAACTGACAAAGAAAGACATAAAATATTCTTGATTTAGTAAAATGCAGTTATTGCTTGAGCTATTATACAATTAACTTTTTTAATACACCTTCCATCTGATGTTATCAGGGTACCTAAGTATTTAAAAACATCAACTTGCTTTAGTCTTGTCCCATTTATTTTGATTTTGCATTTTGCAGGGTCAGTTTGTGTGTGTGTGTGCGTGTGTGTGGTAATTACCATTACTTGTTTTTCTGCGGTTCAAACTAAGGCTCTTGTTTTCACTTTCCGTGTGTTGATATTTAAGTATCTGGTTGCTCATTTGTTTGTGTGGATGGTTGTTTGGTTCAATGGTTGATTTGGTTAACTGGTTGGATAGTTGGTTATTTAGAACAAGAAAACAAGTAACCACACAAGGTTGTAGGATGCAACAACAACAGAGGTGCTTACTCGTAGAGTGGGTTAATGGCCAGTATTCGAAGTCCAGGCATGATGAGGGCCGTGTAATAGGCGTGCTTACTAATAGTGGACAGCTGGTCCGGCAGCACATGGAACATAGACGACCATTGCTCACCAAATGACTTGAGCAGGGTCTGCAGAGAGAGCAGTTAGAACCCTTGTCTGTTCGTTGTTAAACTGTTGTACATGTATGAATGTATGTTTTCGCATGCTTAAGTATACGTTGTTTTTGAATAAACACACACATACATATGAATATATATACACACAAACGTATGTGTGTTTATTTAAAATCATCCATATATACTTGAGCATGCGAAAACATATACATCCAGATTTGCAACATTTTAATTATTATCAGACCAGGAATTTACTGGCACACACACGCGCGCGCACGCACGCACAAAGACAGACACACAAACGTGCGCGTGCGCGCACACACACATTCATTTTAAACAGTTGCACGAATTCACGTGCTAGAGTTTGCATAAATACATTTGAGAGACTACTGCTACTACATAAAATACGTTTATTCGATTACGCAGGCTCACTCAGGTGTATGTATTTTAGATATTGTTATAGTATAAAAATAAGCGAATTCGTTTACCCAAGTTTACACCCACTCTCACCCCCCACCCCCCAACACACACACACACACACACACACACACACACATATATATATTTTTCAGACAGTGGTGCACTAGTTGTGTGACGTTTTCAGACAGTGGTGCACTAGTTGTGTGATGTTTTCAGACAGTGGTGCACTTGTGTGATGTTTTCAGACAGTGGTGCACTTGTGTGATGTTTTCAGACAGTGGTGCACTTGTTGTGTGATGTTTTCAGACAGTGGTGCACTAGTTGTGTGATGTTTTCAGACAGTGGTGCACTAGTTGTGTGATGTTTTCAGACAGTGGTGCACTTGTGTGATGTTTTCAGACAGTGGTGCGCTTGTTGTGTGATGTTTTCAGACAGTGGTGCGCTTGTTGTGTGATGTTTTTCAGACAGTGGTGTACTTGTTGTGTGATGTTTTCAAACAGTGGTGCACTTGTTGTGTGATGTGCTGGCAGGATCTGTGTATGATAGAGTCGTTCCCAAAGTCGGAAATATAAGTCCCTGCACCGGAAAGTGTATCTACTAGTAGTGTGTTGACCGTCAGACGACCGTTCACATTGCACTCAACGGTTCACACTGCGCTCAACCGTTCACACTGCGCTCAACGGTTCACACTGCGCTCAACGGTTTACACTGCGCTCAACGGTTCACACTGCGCTCAACGGTTCACACTGCGCTCAACGGTTCACACTGCGCTCAACGGTTCACACTGCGCTCAACGGTTCACACTGCGCTCAACGGTTCACACTAAGCTCAACGGTTCACACTGCGCTTAACGGTTCACTCTGCGCTCAACGGTTCACTCTGCGCTGAAACGTTCACACTGCGCTCAACGGTTCACTCTGCGCTCAACGGTTCACTCTGCGCTCAACGGTTCACTCTGCGCTCAACGGTTCACACTGCGCTCAACGGTTCACACTGCGCTCAAACGTTCACACTGCGCTCAAACGTTCACACTGCGCTCAAGAATCTGCAGGAAACCACGAACCAAGTTGCCATCCGTTAAAGCAACGGTTCTCAACCTGCCAGTCGCGTCCCTTTTTGGGGTCGAACGACACTTTCACATTGGTCGCCTAAGACCATTGGAAAACACATATTCATTGAAGTTATGAAAGAAAATAATTGTATGGGGGTCGCCACAGCATTAGGGAACTGTATTAAAGGGTCACAGCATTAGAAGTGCTGAGAGCCACTGTGTTACAGGCAGGAGAGAGAAGAACTATAAACAACACTTACTGTCTAATTCTAGTTATAGTACAAAGGTTAATTGCGTATCCTTTACAGGACGTTGCAGAACCAACCTCATCAGCCCCTGGCTGTTGTGTGGTTTCTCTAGGCTAATATACGTCCAGTAGTTTGCCATTGTTCCTAGACGGTCGGCTCCCCGATACCACCGTCGAAACCAACGCAAGGCGCATGGCCCGCAGTTGGGATCGAACCCGGTATCCCGGCATTACGAAACGTTCGCATAGACTTAGCCACAGAGCCGACAGTTATCGTATTGATAATTATATCCAATTTCGTCCTTTTTAGGAGGAAATTTTTTGTCATTTGAAGCCCTACTCTGGCTTCTGCCAGGGGCCGCAATATAGGCAGGCCATATATATGGCCAAATGTCTGAACGCGGTTTCTGGGACCTCTCCATGGCGATCCTCATCCACATGGTGGCACTTTGTGTCATCGGGTGTTTATCGCTTGTGTGATGTCCTGGTGGGGTAGAAATTCAGTTCAGTTCAGTTATCGTATAACGGATGTGTAAATAGTTGTGGCTAAGAAACCTACCTGTGTGTTTTTGTTCAGTCTGTCGTACGAACTTGTCGGATACGTTTCTGAAATAATTGGTAAATGAACTGAGTTTAGTTGTAATATAGCTGTGCAAATGTAAACAGTTGGGGGCACTGACAATACAGGCTTTCTTCTTCTTATTGTCCATGTCAAGACAGCCGTCTCAACATCATTATGGACCCTGGGCAGATCAATGTGCTGAGGCCCATACGAGAACCACTTACAGGATTGGAATGTAAATGGTCCATTATTTTAAACATATACACAGATTAGCATGAGAAGTTGGATGTGTCGGCCGGAAAGCGCAAAAAAGCAGCCTTGCTGTAAACGGGCAAAACACAACTACATCGTCGAAAGAATTAAGCTGGTAACGTACAGTGGTAAGCATTATAATCTAACAAAACATGTCAAGTAGTTCGTGGTCAGGTAAATAGCTACATAAAACGTGTCGTATTCATTTAAAGCTAGAAATATTGATATGACATAATGTCCTATGACATTCCACCACAAGAAATAATCTTCTTTTCACTACTCCTAGGATGCCTCGCTGCGTCAGGACAGGAAGTGACGGGCCCTTGTGTTCGCTTCGTATAAAGTACTTTCCAGCGTCTCTGATTTATTTCTGCAATGCGTGTTCAGCATGGTCGACCATTGGCCCTGTAACCGTTGTATCCGTACAACATCGCTGTTTGTGGTGCCCTGTCTGATGTCAATCTTGTTAAATGGCCAAACCATTTGATTTGTTGTCTACCTATAAAGTTCAGTTTTGGTTTTGTGCCCACTCACCTCCTGATATCATCGTTCCTAAGTCGATCTGTCCTCGTTATACCTCGCATAGTATGTAAACATTTCATTTCTGTCGTGACTATTTTCCTTCTGTCTTCTGAAGACAGTGTCCATGTTTGACATTGATAGCATAGCGCTGTTAAGAATTTTATGTTGAAATGTGTACTTTGTGTTCATATTTACATGCCTGCATTCCAAAATTGGTGCCATTTGGACTAATACTTGATTAGTTTTATGGCATCTATATTGGATTTCTTTACTAATTCTTCCGTCTTCTAAAAAAAAAAATGCTCCCTAGATATGTAAAATCTCTCGTCTGCACTAAATGTTGAACAAAAAATAATGACATGAACAGATTAGACAAGATTTCTTTATGCCAGGGATATTGATGCGATATAGTGTACCGTAATTTCTTCAAGCCAGGGATATTGATGCGATATAGTGTACCGTAATTTCTTCAAGCCAGGGATATTGATGCGATATAGTGTACCGTAATTTCTTCAAGCCAGGGATATTGATGCGATATAGTGTACCGTGATTTTTTCAAGCCAGGGATATTGATGCGATATAGTGTACCGTGATTTCTTCAAGCCGGGGATATTGATGCGACATAGTGTACCGTGATTTCTTCAAGCCGGGGATTTTGATGCGATATAGTGTACCGTGATTTCTTCAAGCCAGGGATATTGATGCGATATAGTGTACCGTGATTTCTTCAAGCCAGAAATACAGACTCAACAACACATACCATGATTTCCCAAAGCTGGGAATATTGGTCCAATGTGGCGTAGTTTGTCGACGATTAGAGTGTTGACTAGTAGGTTGTCGTTCATTTTGTTCTCAAGTGTATCCAGTAAAATATGGGGGCTGTTGTCACCTAGGAATAACATGACAGTAATTAATTAATGCTGTTAATCTATAACAGACAAGAAGAAGTAACATCGAGTCAGTTACTAGTAATTTGCTCCACTGTTTTAATATCTATAGATCAAGAGAAAGACATTTACATGCATTTACTGGTACTCATTTGTTAATCATACTATTTAAAAGAAGAAGAGGCCTTTACATTGTTCACAGACTGAAGAAGAAGAAGCAGAAAAAGAATAAGAAGAAGAAGAAGGCGTGCATGCCACTAACTTACCCACATAGACAAAGAAAGCTGGGGCTGGCTTCATGTTCTGTATAAAATCCAACAGGACTCTGACCGTTGGTTCTGCAGCATCACAGTTGTAGCTGCCAAAGACGCCTGCAGTTCCCTAATTTCAGTCAGACAAGAGGATATTGGAAGTTGAAACATGTAAACGATTGTGTTAGCTACGGTATTTGATTTATGTAGGTGTAAAACTTTGAAACGTTCAGCTTTTATTAGACTATATGTTTATAGCGAAAGCATATATACTGTACACATAGAGCCGTTCTTGATTTATTCCTTTTTCAGTCTTCGATACCCCTTATCTTCTCGCCGCTTCCCTTCACTCTTTATAAACAATTACAAAGACTGCTACTACTACTGCTGCTGCTGTTACCACTACCGCTACTACTGCTGCTACTACTATTACGGCTGCTGTTCCTACTACTACTACTACTACTACTACTACTACTACTACTACTACTACTACTACTACTACTACTACTACTACTACTACTACTACTGCTGCTGCTGCTGCTGCTACTACTACTACTACTACTACTACTACTACTACTAATGCTGCTGCTGCTGCTACTACTACTACTACAATAACTACTACTTACGGTACTGTACACATAAAGCCGTTCTTGATTTATTCCCTTTTCAGTCTTCGATACCCCTTATCTTCTCGCCGCTTCCCCTCACTCTTTAATAAACAATTACCAAGACTGCTGCTGCCACTACTGCTGCTGCTGCTGTTACTATTATCGCTACTACTGCTGCTGCTACTATTACGGCTGCTGTTTCTACTACTACTACTACTACTACTACTACTACTACTACTACTACTACTACTACTACTACTACTACTACTACTACTACTACTACTACTACTACTACTACTACAACTACAGCTGCTGCTGCTACAACTATACTACTTCCGGTCAAAATAGACGCTAGGCACGGCCACTAATTTGAGCCGGGGCAATTTTTTTGCTTCTGTCAGACGGTGGCCATAGCATTTCTGCTATTTTTGTAGACTAAAAGGATATAGTTTCGTCGCCCAGCTTCTGAGTTGAATGTATGGCGTGACACTGTGAGCTGCACATTTCATTTGGAATGTTTTTCTACTGTGACCTACGTGATAGTGTGAATTGTAGATTCAGAAAATGGCTTGATGCCTGTTGTCGCAATATTGGTGGTGCCAATATGTGATTAACATTGATCGTGTGTGCAACTGTTGATCTGTTGGTGACTTCATCTACCATCAATGATGAACTGCATTTATAATGTCGGACTGTTTGTGTTAGCACTTCTGATGGCTACCGCATGCTTTTAATGAATGTGTATGCTAGCGCATATGCTGAGACAGCAGAGTGTCAATCTTTCCATAAGGGACTGTGATAAACATTCTGTGTGTTTTTCGTTGGCAGTGGAGCGGAGCAACTATGGGGTGACCCGTTTGCTATGAAGCTAAAACAAAGAGTACCAGATTAATACTACTACTACTACTACTACTACTACTACTACTACTACTACTACTACTACTACTACTACTACTACTACTACTACTACTACTACTACTACTACTACTACTACTACTACTACTACTAATACTACTACGACTACTACTACTACTACTACTACTACTACTACTACTATTACTACTAATATTGCTTCTGCTGCTGCTACTGCTGCTGCTCTACTAATATTACTACTGCTTCTACTACTACTATTGCTGCTGCTACCACTATTATTACCACTACTGCTACTGGATATTACAACTGCTACTATTGCTGCTACTACTACTATTACTACAATAACAACAATAATTAATACTACTATTATTCAGTGACTTAAAAAAAGAAAATAAATTACGAGTTTAGAAGAGATTTTACAAAATGTAATGACTACTACCCGCTGACGACCACACCACGACTATCACTACCACCATTTTATCCCCATTACAACTACAACAGCAACACAAACTACTACTTTTATGCTGCTGTTGATTCTTTTCTTTTCTTTCTTTCTTTCTTTCTTTCTTTCTTTCTTTCTTTCTTTCTTTCTTTCTTTCTTTCTTTCTTTCTTTCTTTCTTTCTTTCTTTCTTTCTTTCTTTCTTTCTTTCTTTCTTTCTTTCTTTCTTTCTTTCTTTCTTTTTTTCTCTTTTCTTTCTTTCTTTCTTTTCTTTCTTTCTTTTTCTTTCTTTCTTTCTTTCTTTCTTTCTTTCTTTTTCTTTCTTTCTTTCTTTCTTTTTCTTTCTTTCTTTCTTTCTTTCTTTCTTTCTTTCTTTTCTTTTTTTTTCTTTTCTTTCTTTCTTTCTTTCTTTCTTTCTTTCTTTCTTTCTTTCTTTTCTTTCTTCTTTCTTTCTTTCTTTCTTTCTTTCTTTCTTTCTTTCTTTCTTTCTTTCTTTCTTTCTTTCTTTTCTTTTCTTTCTTTCTTCTTTCTTTCTTTCTTTCTTTCTTTCTTTCTTTCTTTCTTTCTTTCTTTCTTTTCTTTCTTTCTTTCTTTCTTACTTTCTTTCTTTCTTTCTTTCTTTCTTTCTTTCTTTCTTTCATTCTTTCTTTCTTTCTCTTGTTTTATCTTCCTTTTTGCACTTCTTCTGATATTACCACTACTAGAGATTCTACATTTTAATGTGACACTTTGTACTGTTTCAAAACATTATTTATAACAAAAATTCACCTCCTTAAGTGATTAGTTGAGTTTATATAATAATGTATCCATATATTCTAGCTGCAATATGCTTAATATAAAAGTGGTACTAGGTTTTGTATATCTGTTTCAACTGGCCACGTAGATGCATGAAAATAATGAAGTACAACTTACGTTTCCAGTCAGATTCGACCTGCAGCAGATAGTGTATCCACAGTTTGTCACAGAATTCTGTGTTTGTAAGAAACAAAACCAAATCTCATTAAAAGTTTAATATTTTTTTTAAAACGTTTTTAACTTTTCTTCGTGAAATAAGAACCGTTTACTTTGAGTAACAGTATCTGTAGGCCTGGTCTCTAATTTTCCTGTATGGGTTCCGGGGCCCACTTATTATTTGGGGATGGGGTGGGGTGGAAAGGAATAGACTCACTGCTGCTCTATCAACAACAACAACAACAACAACAACAAAAAACAAGTTGCGTATCCTTTACAGGACGTTGCAGAACCACCACCAGCATTTATTGGCTGTTGTGGTTTTTGTAAGAAAATGTTACGTTCAGTAGTTTGCCATTGCTCTCTAAACGGTCAGCTCTCGGTACTAATGTCGAACCTAGCGCAAGACAAATCATTAGCTGCAGGGATCGAACCCGGCACCCCGGCATTACGAAGCGTGTTCGCAACGCCCAAGCCACAGACACCGATGCTCCGTCAAGCATATCTTAAAAGGCGACTAATAAGAGATTTTTTGTTCAAAGTCGAAGCAACAGTCTCCATACAACCAAGCAGATCTGTAAAACGGATATGAATGCAAAATTTAAGTTCTGAAACAGTATTACAGTCTAGAAGTGGAAACACAAGCAGAGCATTCTGCGATGTTTATAGCAGGCGAGCGCTTAGAAGGAGAAGAGATATTCTGTGTAAGTTGTGTGTGTTTAAAACCTGTAACGTTTTAAAAATAATGTGCGTAATAAATCATTGTTGTCGCGCCCCACCCCTCCTCCCCAACTCAATGAGCATGCTATTGAAGATCAAGGTGGGGTATTGCGGGGGACAGTGGCTCCATCTGATACAGCACGCAGGATTTCGCAAAATCACCTTCATTTTAGTCAAATGGCATGCTGATGTGAAAGTTATTGAGAGATCAGACGCTCTCACTAGCAGTGCGACTATAAGGGATGGGCCCTATATGGGCAGGAGAGACATCATCAATGTTATACGAGACTAAACGCTGTAAGACTTTCATTTTCATGGAAAATGATTTTTCGCTAAATAGACTGCAAACCTCGGATGTACCAGTTGGAGCAGCGAGACAGGGAAACCACACGAGAGCCACCCGTCGTTACATCAACGAGAATAGAATAGGAGTTGTAAGCCTAAAAACACTTTGAGACATAGGAGGAGATCGGAGCACTTATGGTCTTGTCCGATGTGCGATTATGATGTTCTGTAACATGAACAATGTGACCCCCACCTGACTGAAGCGTCAGAGCCCCAACCACATTGCTAGAGAACTGTACAGACAGCACCAAGATCTGCTTGAAAGAGATGTAGCTCTGTGCGAAAAACCTAGGCCAGAACAATGGACAAGCAAGCCAGAGAAGGCAAATGTAGTTCTAAAGGTACCAGGGATCACTTCAAAAGATGCCCAGACGGAGACACAATAGAGAACCATGGCTCTTGCTATGCTTGATGAGAAGTATCCAAACACCATTTGGACTCAGGTTTTCACCGACGGCTCTGCTATAGATGCAGTCAGAAAGGGGGTGTTGTGGAATATACATTAAACCCCCTAGCAGTAGAGCAGAAACTCTCTCTCTACCAGCAGGTGACATCTGCCATAACTTCAGAGCTGAGGCAACTGCCCTCCTTTCTGCAGTCCAACATCTCATCACTCAAGAACACAGAGGGCGCAAAATTGTTATACTTAGTGACTCATTGTCTGTTCTCCAAGCACTATCAAGCAAAAAACAAGACAATTGCAGATCTAAGGACCAACATTGGCTTACTCTCCAAGGAAGCAGAACTAGTCCTGCAGTGGATACCAGCCCACTGTGGTATTTAAGGAAATGAGAGAGCAGATGAGTTGGCAAAAGTTGGGAGTAATCTTCCACAACCTCATCCCCCACACAGCTACAAGGAAACTAAAACAGCATTAAAGCAGTCTTTCAAGCGGGAGTGGAGAAAGCAGAATAGAGATTACAGACCAGAGAGTGACAGCATAAACAAACTCAACAGGAAAGAACAAACATCAATTTTTAGACTTCGGACTGGACACTGTGGTCTTCGAGCACACCTGTACAGGATATGCAAAAAAGAATCTGCTGCCTGTGATTGTGGAGAAGAAAGACAGACCCCTGAGCACATACTGCAGTACTGCCCCAACCTCTCCCAGCAAAGACTGTGGATCTGGCCCAAGGGAGCCACATTGCAAGAGAAGCTATGGGGGACCGGTGGCGACCTTAAATGCACAATCCTATTTTTGACCCAGACGGGATTCAATGTGTAGCATGACTGATGTCGAACGCAAAAGAAGAAGAAGAAACCCCCACATTGACGCATTGGACTGATTGTGCTAAACGTATATTTCTGTAGACCAGTTGGCATCAGTAGTTGATATTATCAACATCACTTCAGCCGCCTTTAAGCAGTGCCATGCTGTGCTATAATACGGAGAAGCGACTGCATCAAGGTGCACCGCAATGGAGTGGAGGTGGCGGCATAAGTAGTAAAATCGAAATGCAATTTGAACTTGTGATCTGACAGAGTGAAGCTATTATAGGCGGCATTTCGAAGACGTGCATCATACTGAAAAAATCTACCACACGGGACTGCCTTGATGTTATATATTTTATGGTTAATATTATAGGCAGTGTCAGCCTAGAAGAAGTTATAACAATTATCATCTATTCGGCAGATATTTTTGTCAAAGGTATCATCATCAACATCATCGTCATCATCACCGTCATCATTGCCATCATCATCAATAACCTTGCCGACTGACTTGGGCAATCGTTTCATCATCATTAATATCGTCATCACCATCATTATTCTTATCATCAACACTTACCTTGCCGGCTGACCTGGGCAATCGTATCTCTATCATCAACATCGTCGTCATCATCACCATTGTTATCATCATCAGTTACCTTGGCGAGTGACATGAGCAATCGTGCTTCTTATCGCCATGCGATATAAAATAAAATGCACCAGTTTATGCGTTGACATCCTTCCTTGCCGTGACAAACGACTGTCAAGTGTCCCCTCTTCTTGTCTTCCTCTATCTCTCTTTCCATAGATCATTCCGACTGTCACAACATGTTTGATTTTACATTTGGCATTGTGGGCCTAAAAATTCTGACCACCTCGGTTTGATGTCAGTGATACGCTTTAGTCGTTGCCTCTTTCTGGATTGCTTATCTTTTTTTGACCAAAGAACCTTAACTCATGCAATTCCGATTCCGATTCCTTTCAAGAAAAAAATTAAAAGGTCGACCACTTTCAGACTGCAGCTAGCTAGCCTAGGCTGATAACAGTCTCCGCCCATATTTGTGGTCCGGGTTATTTGAGTCACTTTCGTGACTAAATTCTAGTATTTGCGCCGTTTCTGGCTTGATGCTTCCTTCCGATTCATACCTGTTGTTAGTTGTGCATGTCTCTTCTCTTCTTACTTGGTGTTTTCTCTTTGTTTTATCTGCCTCTGATTTGGCCAGGCGTATTTCGTAGGAGAGCGAGCTTTTCTATATGTCATTTGGACCACCATTTACAGTTTTAAAATTTTGAGTATTTAATTTTGCCAACAAGTAATGAAAAAACTTTTTGATTTTGGATAGTTCCGAAATGTGAAAATATTTCGCATGTGACAATATTGGTCTTATAGTTGTCTTCCGGCAATAAGAACGGGTTAGTCATGTCGTGGATATGTGTGTGTGAAATGTTGTGTGAAGCCTCAAAGCGGGTCTAATCGTAATTTGTTAATGAGTGATCAGGTTGTGTCGGTTTGGGTTGGCAGCTAGGCTCTCGTCTACGTAAATTCCATATACCCGGAGCACCCAGCTCACGCTTTGAGATCCAAATGTTCGGCGATGAGAATTGCTGTGGCATGTTGGGTATCGAACTCAAGTGCTTTCTGTGGAAATGGGGTGGGGGGTTGAACTCATAGTGCATCCTAAAGAGGTAGGAAAGGGTGAGGAGAAAGGGGGCGGGAGGCCATTCAGTCAATTCTCGTTGTTGCCGTCCTGCTGGATTCTAGCGTGACATTTAGCCGGGATAATACGTATCACGTCACCATCCTTTGCTATCATCCCACTGATGGGGTGGTATTGGTGGTTAAGTGTTCTAGTCCTATCAGTATCGATTCACTTATTTTCCCTAATTGCTGTCAGTCATATCTTGTTGTGATTCCTACCGGTCATGTTTATGTTGTATGCATGATGTGGAATGGGATGGTTTCGAGTATGAATCCCCGGAGAATATAGACGCACACAACTAAGTGTATGCGTACATGTACTCGAGCATTCATATACGCAGACAACACTACATGTGTGCACTTCCTTTCATACTTATCCGTGTATGCATACCTATGTGACATTCCGCACACATGCATACTGCTTTATATGTGTCTACCAATGCCTACATAAATGCACTTACATTCATGAAAAACGCGTACATCCACACGTAAGGACACTCACACTTCTATGTCTTGCATGTTATTTTGTGTCGCTATGTCTATAATATCGTCTGGTCGTGTCACTTTTTAAGTTATGCCCAGTTCCTGGTATGTGATCTGTCCGTTACGTTCTTTTCATGTTCTGGTAGACGGTGTGTGATGATGAAGTTCTTTCTGGCGTACACACTTCAATGCATGTATTCTCATTAACAGGTTCGTGCGATTTAATAAGTATGTATGCACTCGTTCACCTTATATTTCCATGCAACCACATACTTTATGGAGTCCTGGAGTGCACCGTCAGTCACGAACACGCATACAAATATATAAATATACACGCTCACATGAATATATACACACACGTATGCATACTCATGCAATCATTTCCCAGCTGCGTTATTGTATGTCATCACATACAGTTCAGTCTCTATTTCAAATCATTCGATAGAATCAAATGGCTTCTCTCATTAACGTTCTCATTGGATAGAATCAAATGGCTTCTCTCATTAACGTTCTCATTGGATGGAATCAAATGGCTTCATTCATTAACGTTCTCATTGGATGGAATCAAATGGCTTCTGTCATTAACGTTCTCATTGGATGGAAAAAAATGGCTTCTCTCATTAACGTTCGTCTTAAGGTTTCTCTAGGACATCTTCCTTTCTTCAGTCCCTCTATTTCTCATGTCAGTGCCTGTTTGTAACAGACTCTGAAAGCATGCTGATAAAGGTGAAGACAGGGGTGCTTCGAGCATAGTGGCAAGCTTCACTGGGAAGGTCACAGGTAGTGAGCATACGTTGGATCTTCTCTCCAGACTTTGCCGGCGTAGTGGGTAATGAACATGCAGACAGATTAACTCCATCTGCACCACTAGGTGGTTAATTGATACATTACAAGGCAGATGTGGTCAAGGCCCTTTGGGAACAAGCAGCGGCATTAGTGGAGAAACAAGATTATTATGGCCTGGAGAGACTGAGGCCCCTGGGTGTAACCAGAGGGTTTGGCCGGCTCACTACACCCAGAGGAAAGGCAAGACGGACATGTAACCAGATTGTTACCGGTACCATCAGTATTGGAACTCTGCGCTAGCTGCTGAAAATGAGGACAGAGCACGCATGGAAATGCCCCGAGTGCTGTGATGTCAATTCTTGACTCAACTCAACTTAGTGCCTGTTTGGTGATTTTTGTATTCGTCTGTCCCCAGAATGTGTTGAATACAGCGCCATCTTTTCAACCCCTCTGTTGAAACTGGTGATAACCCAGACATTTCTGTTATTGTAGAGGAATTTAAGAACCTTAATGTTAATGAACCTTAAGGGCCTTTGAAAATGATCAGCATTGAACAATTAGCATCAGGAGTTACATCACAAAGATTAAAAAAAAAAAGTATCAGGCAAAGGATAAGCAAGAAAATACAACTAGAAATAGGTGAAGAGCAATGTAGATTCATATAAAGCAAGATTGCAACAAATGTTGTCTATCTCCTGAAAACAATAATCGAACGTTCAGTGAACGTAAATAAAAATCTTCATCTCAGCTTTATTGATCACTCTGTAAGTCTATAGACAGTGTAAGACACGACGACATGTTAAATATGCTTACAAATCTGCAAATTCTTCTTCGCGTTCACCAGCTGTAAACTCTGGTGAAAAGTTGCGGTTGTTCATCCACTTCTGGACTGCAGTCCTCTTCCACAACCTGAGTGTTGCATGTGCATCAGTATCACAGATCTGACTCAATTGTATGCAGACTGCTGGTTTTCTACCTCTCAGGCAGATGCACTCCGACTTTGAAGGAAGCTACCAGTTAGTCGACTCTCACGACATTCTTTTGGGTAGGCAGTGGGTCTATTCTTGTTTTCCCTATAACAGGGCCTCGGAACCCACACGATGATGGGAAAGACCTTCGACTGATGATTAAGAACAGATACTGGAAACAACACGCTGCTATAAGACTCTGAAACAGATTTGTATTAACAAATCAAGAGAGATGTGCGACATGGATGTGTAATATCTCCTGCTCTTTTTTCCGTGTGTAGTAAAAATATGCGACATCCGAAAGACGTGAAGGGTATTAACGTTGGAGGATGTAACATCAGTAATATAAAATATGCAGACAGTGAAGAAGATCTGCAGTTTTTAATGGATGCAATAATAGTTTACAGTAAGAAACTTGGCCTAGAGTTAAACTGTAAGTAAACGGAAATTGTGATCATCACCAAGAAGAAAGAAATGCTTAAAGTGTAAAATACATGCAAATGAATAAACTCTTAAGTGAGTTAACAGACACAGCTATTTAGGAACAGTCACAACATCTGCTGCAAGATGCCTTGCAGAAATTAAAGTAAGAATCACCATGGCAGAGGTGGCATTTAGCAAGATGAAACAGATTCTCACCAATAGGAAGATGTAATTTGTAGTGAGAAAAAGACTGTTGTGTGGAACCTGTGTTGTTGTATGCATGCGAAAACAAACGAATTATCAATTATCATCAAGAAAAATGAAAGGCGTAAACTCATTAGAACAGTTAAGCGTAGACAGTCAATATTTTTTAGACATATTAGGAGAAGGAATTGACTCGAGAACTTGGTAATAACTGAGAATGGTAAGAATGGTGGAAAGAGAGCAAGATAAAGACAGATAGATTTTAAATACCTGGATGGCCTTTCCAGATGGACCAGGCGAGACAAAACATTGAACTGATCCTTGATTCTGGTGATTGAGTGAGATAGCAAAACATGGCAGCCAACGTTTACTGGCAGGCACATGATGATGATAAATGTATAATTTTATTTTGAATCGTTGGAGAAGTGTAACTATTAAATAAAAAAAAAATATATATTAACAAAAAATAAATAAAATAAAAAAATCAACAAAGCAATGGAACAAAAAACAAACCTTCACATAATCTTTGTCCATATGAATGTCTGAGATCTGCACAAATGTCAGTGGATCCGAACTCTGCTGGTTCATCTCAAGTCTAGCCTGATTCAATTGTACTTGGTGTGCCAGTTGTACAGAGGAGGCAGGCGGGCTAGATAATCCACCCTGATTCCTGAAGTGGTTCGTTGGACAGATCTCTAATATTTCGCAGGCTCCGGACAAAATGTCATTAATGAACACACTTCTGACCTGAAAGAGAAAGATGGTACGGAATCTGATGACACATTCACAAACATTTTTTCATCGTTTTATCCCTATCATCATCAACATCATCCTCATCATCTCGCCCTCGTCTTGATAAAACTTCTGTGTCATTATGTGTTATAAATGGCTCACACTCTAATCATCCATTTTGGTCTGCCCTGAGCAATCCTTTCGATATCATAAACGGAATTCAGTCCAGCACCTGTGCCTCTCGTATCCACTTTCGTTTCAGGGGTTCTCTTCCGGGTCTTCATTTTCTCAATCAGTTTGCTTCCAAATTCACTGCTTGTTTTGGTGATTCTCTGCAAGTCTCTTCCCAGGATGAGCCCACTAAAGCTTAGTTTTATTTTGCTAGTTTATTAATCCTACCTTCCTTGCTAGTAGTCCCTGTATCTTCTTTATCTTAGTCTAAGTCTAGTTTAAACTTCACTGGAGGTGGGTTCACCCTACTTGCTCAGTTCCTGTGCCGGTAACAATCAAATGAAATTCTCCTCCTTGCCCTATTTGAAACATTGGCATTTTGTTCACATAACTATAGATTCAGATATCTAAATCTTCGTATATGACTTTACTGAGGCATGCAATACACATAACTATAGTTGTATACTATCTGTCTTTGCATAACTTTGCACAGCTGCAACTTTATATTCTCAGTCTTTGTAAAGGACTTTAGTTAGGAATGTCATTCACATAAATATAACTGTGTACTCCCAGTCTTTGTATAGGACTTCTTTGATGCATACAATTCACATAAATCCATAACTATAAACTTTATATTCTTGGTCTATATATAACACTTCATTTAGGGATGCTACTCACATAATTTTAACTATAAACGTATTTTGGTATAAGACTTTACTGAGTCGTGAAGTTCAATAAATATAACCTTATACTCACTCTCTAAAAAGGACTTCATTGAGGCAGTCAGTTAACATAAGTCTAATCCTAAACTTACTCTTTGAATAGGACTTCATTAAGGCAGTCAGTTCACATAACTGTAACCTTATACTTACTCTTTAAAGAGGACCATTGAGGCAGTCAGTTCTCATAACTATAACTCATACTCACTGTCTGAAGAGGACTCCTTTAAGGCAGACATTTCACATAACTATAACCTTATACTCACTCTCTTGAGAGGACTTTATTGAGGCAGTCAGTTCACATAACTATAACCTTATACTCACTCTCTTGAGAGGACTATTGAGGCAGTCAGTTTACATAACTATAACCTTATACTCACTTTCTGAAGAGGACTTTACTGAGGCAGGCAATTCACATAGCTATAACCTGATGCTCGCTCTCTGAAGATGATTTAATTAAGATATGTAATTAACATAACATTATGCTTCACTGCTTGAATAGAACTTTACTGAAGCATGCAGTTCCCTTAGATTTAACTTTGTACTCACTCTTTGAATAGGACTTCACTGAGGCGTGCAATTTAGTTAAATTTAACCTTGTACTTACTCTGCGAATAGGACCTCACTGTGGTATGCAGTACACATAAACTGTAACATATCCAGAAACATTTAACAAAGTACGATACTTTACATCGGGTAAGTACTGCTGCAGGAGATGAGGACAGGTAATTGTTGAGTTGTGTCCAAGCATGGGTACAACTGTTAAACAAACACTTGAGAATATGTTCTCGGCATTGACGCTTGATGGTAGAACATTATAGAGGACTCGAACTCCAGCAAGGATCATCTGAAACATATAAAAGCTGATTTTTGAGCGTCAGATTTAGATAGCTCAGTGATGTTTAATATCCTCTTCTTCAGCGATATTATGTCTTACGCTCAATCCAACGTGGGCCATAAACGGGTATCTCATCTCAAGGTCTCTTAGGTTTCCCCAAAGTTTAGTTGTCAGGTCCACTGGGCTTGGCCACATGTTGCTTCGCAGCTCCGCCAACTGAGGACAGTCTTGCCAGACATGTTCTGGAGTCTGTTCAACACAAAGACACTGGCAGAGAGCTGTTTGGCTCACCTCCAATTCATTTGAGTGTTTGTTGAAAAACTGTGACTTTATCTGTTCTGTTGCGGTGTTTGAGAAAATCTCTTTCATGGTTATAACCTGTGTTAATTTTCCAATCTGTTTCTGAATGTCTCTTAACGATGATTTTGACTTCTGGAACCGTTAATGATTGGTAAATTTGTGATTAGCGCTGCCTTCTTTGGCTAAAGCGTGAGCTCTTTCATTGCCTTTGGTGCCTCAGTGAATGTGAGTTTCTGCCTTTGTTGACAACATAACATTGGCAGTGAATTTGTGTGAAAAACCATCTTGACTGCAGGGGTTTGCAGCTTGTTCTAATAAAGAAATAAATATTCCAAAACAAAAATGATACATTTAAAAATAGTACGTTTTATTTTTACGAATATTAGTGACTTGTGATGATTATCCTAATAGCATTGTGGACAGACCGTGTTTCAGATGTCCCGCTAATAATTCCACAAGTATAGAACGATCATAGACACCGGTTCTGTTTCGAGCAACCAGACATATTGTCACCAAATTGGAATTGTTGTCTGGCAGCTCCAGGTTGCCATTTCTTTATTTACCAGCATGGACAAGATACGGATTCATCCTTGTCACTGTGTACTTCTTAGCAATATGAATCTCACGTGGCATTGATGATATCGCTCTTGTCAATTGCCGGACCACTCAAAGTACATCAGCTGTCCATTGATAATGTACTTTGCAGGGGCGCCGATATAAATTATAAAAGGGAAAAAAAACGTTACTTTCAGTTTGCTCAGCTTATTTTGTTACAACTGTTATACTTTCTCTCTCTCCCCCCCCCCCCCCCCCGACCTTTTTCCAGTTCAGTATGGGCTCTCAGCTTAATCATATCAAATAATTATATCTTTGTTACAGCATACAGTTTATCTAATTTCCTCTTTTTTTAATCTTCATTCTCTAGTTCCTTGTTCGTCTGTTCTTAGTTTTTGACCATATGAGTTCAAACGTACAGATAGCCTAGTTATATTGTTCTTAGGTTTTCGCAACGTCTGTCCTACTACCCCTTTAACAACTTATTATAGTCCTATCCAGTACCAACGCGATTTCTTCACCTCCTAATTCACTAGAATTTTGTTAGTTCACTTCTTAAGCTCTGCCTAAGTGATTATATCATAACTGTTAATTTCCTCTATTCTGTGCAGTCACATCAGTTAATGAATGTTTTTATTACATTAGCAAATGTTTTAGTTGTTCTCAATGTTTCCGCTCCAAACAACAGTACGGATTTGATTTTAAAACTAAAGACTAGTTTTAATTTCTTTTGACTTCCATGAAAACTCTTCTTGCCTTTTGTATTTCTATTTGTTTTTTAATATCTCTATCATCACTGCCCAAACAGGGGCATAACTTCACGTCTTGGAGTGGGATATCACTAAGAGAAATTCTATTAGTATTTGCCTGGGTTTATTTTCATTTTCTTTGTTTTCCCTTATAGAAACTAAAACATAATTGTTATGATCTTTTATCCTTTTTATCTTACATCTGATTCCGTGAGTGGAATAGTAAAGAAATGTCATCAGCGAGGTCCGAATAATCTAGATGTTCTGATAAAATCCATTGAATTCCATTCCTGGTCGTAGCTGTTGCTGGCTTTACCTATTACCACTAGTGCCTTTTTTGAAAGTTCTGACTAGCACGATTACCAACGAACAGGTTGCTGTGTGTTCGAGTTCACTTTAAGACAGAGGTTCTTAAAATGGACCTGGATCTATTGACCAGGATATGCGGGTGTTGCTGGCAATGAAAGAGTTTATAGACTGACAGGTTCTGCATTAGTTGCAGATTGCCAACCTATGGATCATGCCGACTTTGTTATGCCCTTAGAGAGATAAGACGTTCCGAGGATTTTGGAAGCAAAATGTCCAAATCACTGTTAAGAATACGAGAATTGGGAGTATAGGGATTAACCGCGCAACGCTAATGAAGATTATGAAGGGAGAATCTGAGAACCTATGGATGTATCCTGAGTGCTGTGAAGATAATCCAATTGATAACGTATAACACATTATGTATGACTTATTGACTACTTACCTTGCATTCTTGACACCTGGAAACGTTTTCGCTAGCTTCCCGGAGTGACATGTTGACGACGTTCCCGCTAGATGATGCTCCCAAGAAACTAGTGACCGCCAGAAGGCACACACAAGCAGCAGCTCGGAGACTCATTGTGTGCTCTATTGTTGGCATGCTATCTACTTGGTTGATAATTTCGGAAATAATTTAGAATGAATGTACAAAAGTTACTGGCAATTGGCATTTCTGGTAATACTAACACCAATATAATAGTTGATAAAACTCAGCTGGCTGAATATACAAACATGAATTACAAGTTGCTTTTTATAAGCTTTTATTAGGTTCGCTTTTGTATGTAAGAATGTCTGGATAAAAGTGTGCAGTCGAATTTTACACTATTTCCTTATAACATATAGAGTTCAAATGTGCACCACAAACTCGATGGACAAAAATACAGTTTCTTGAAATAAAATTTCAGCTGATAATTTTGGTTGTCAAACGTTATATTGGGTCACACATCGTGTGTGTGCGTGCGTGTGTGTGACCATAAGGTCATTTTTTTTGGCTAGTTTCGCCCTTTTGTATATTTATCCACCCTAATATTTGTAGTAGCAAAATTTCACTAGAAGTAAAGGCAGCAGCCGTATAGGGACAAAATTACCCATCAAGTACATATTGGCAAAACTTAAAAGGGGTGCCCTATATACCCAAATAAGTCTTTAGAAAGATTATAATTTAGATATTATACTGCAAAGAAAGTCTACATCAAAAGGAGGCAGCCGGTCTATTACTGTTTTTTTTTTTTCCATTTTGAACCCTCACAGGAAATTGTGGATTGAAGCTGCACGATAAACGCGCTAATGAAGATACATTTTTAGGGGTGCACAGCTAGTCATGCGTCTTAGTATTCTTGTTTCTGCAGCGAGACGCTGTCGTCATTTGTAAGTGACAGGTACAATTGCTTGTATGATAACTACAGCTTTCGATGTCTATTTTGTCTAGTGTGTCCTTCTATCTTTCTACTTCTTTCTGTGAGTGCCGATCAATAATGTTTGTTTATAAAAATATATAGAAGATCTTTTGTAAATTGTCGCTCTCATTACATCAGCCAGATTAGAGTAGAGCTAGTTCTGCTCATTGCATTTTCATGCTAAACATGCCGGCGGTTTTGTATTCAAATCCGCATGTGAGCTTACTTCATTTACAATTGAATAAGTCAATCTTTCCTTTTCAGCCTAGGGTGGCTCACAGAACTGAGGTCATAGATCTCCATGTCTGACCGTTCTTTGCCACCTGTTGTAGGTCTTCAATGTTTAAAAGGCCCGTGGTTGGGCCTTCCCTGATGATGGTTCTACGCAGAGTCTCTCCTGGCCTTCCCCATTTTCTTTTCCCTTCCGGTGTCCGTATGAGGGTTTGATAGGGAGAGTGGTCTTATCCATTCTGAGTGCATGACAGATGTAATTACAAAAATTGTTCACATTATCTTGCTTGGTCTCTTTTCGTATTCGCGAATTGGATCTGAAATCTGTCCAATGTGTTCTTATAAGACATATTTTTTTTATTTGTCTAATTGTTTAAAAATCTAGAGCTACCTTTGCTATCCAACTGGTTTACTCACAAAAAATGAGTACTTGATGTCCTATGACGCAAAGTCGGTTATTGTGACGATAACCGCATCATCTATCCAGGTCTATAAAAATATAAGTCTAGTATAATATTTCCCGATCCGCCACTGGCTTAAAACGGTCCTTTACATCTATTTGAAAATAGAGAATGAGCTAAACAGCGCTAAAGAAAATCGAAATTCAGATGAGCTTATAACAAAGCAACATAAGAAAAATAACAGTAAATATCGTTAACATAATGTGATAGGTTGTATATGAAATAAAACAAACCAAACCTGACAAGGCTCTCTGATCATGCCAGAGTCACACAGTCACAAAACTAGACTGATCGCATGAAAAAGTCATAAATATTCGGTAGTCGAGAAGCGAGATCCAATATCCAGCCATGAAGTGGGTATCAAGATCAGAAGAGCTGAATTTGATACGAATTATCAGATGGGGTGCATATCATTTCTATTATATATATACACACATACACACACACAAACAAACATCAGCATGCAAACACGAGACGCCGGGTGTGGGTTAGACCACTGACTTGCAAATATTTCTTTCCAAACTTGCTCACTGAATATAAGTACAGGTTTGCTGACAACTAGTTTAAATACCGCAGAATTAGTACGGTTTATGTACTCATCGATGTTTGGGCAAGATATAATACCACTTTGGTAACAAGTACATGATATTTTAAAACATGGAATACAGTATACAAATGTTAACCCTTTACGCAAACGTCTATATACCACCCCCCCCCCCCCCCAAACCACAATTCACACCCCCTCCCCCCTTTACAAAGAAAACCCCTACTGTTTTAGCACATTTCCTGTCAAATAATGACCAGGGTCAATTTAAACCTGCAGAGATGTCAGCCCTTGAAGTTCTTAGTCATTTCTAACTGTGTTATTCCACGCAGTTGAGCGTCTGGTCGAGCGTCTACAACGTCTGGCTCTCAACTGGAGACCGTATCCGACTCCCGATAAAATGATAAGAATTTTTCTATCTAGGGAAAAATTAAACATCACAATCTGTACAGTGAGGGTTGCCAGCTTTAGCTATGCGGCCTTGTATCCTCAGGCACACGACCTCCTGTCTACACCGCCCTAAAAATTGGCACACACAGACAGTAGTGATAGTGACAGTCATTCTTTCATTACACAATAGGCAGACAATAAAGAATTATTTCACTTAGTTTGCCTATGTCTATTCGCTCGCTGATCTTCCCAGTTTAAACGATTGTATCTCTCTATCTCACCCCGCCCCTCCCTTTTTTTACATGGTCTTTTCTTATGATATATAATCAAAGAATACTGATTATCAGTTGATGAAACTTGAACTCATACATAATAAAGCCATGAGGATAATTCTGGAATATACAGGAGATGCCCTATGTGTGATATATATTTGCATTGCTGCGAGTTTAGTCATATCTCAGAGTAGCCGCAAATAAGAAGCATCTCATGCATGAAGCCTTAGAAAGAGCTAAGGGTCACAGACTGAAAAGAGGAAGGTCCTGCATGACGCAAGCTGAAGTCACAATTAGACATGTGTGTAGGCTTGATAACAATGGGTGAGGAGAGGAGTGGGTCAGAATGTTCCAGCAAAAGTCAGGCTTGTGTAGGGTTCTGATCACACTGGGTCATGAATGCAGGGACTGACCATCGGGCGCTGCAGAATCAGAAATTCGACAATTGATACATGACAATTCTTGCCCAGGTGATGTGATAATCTACACAGATGGCTCTGTGATGAGAGGCAGACGATGCTCTGTCGCTTAGTGCAACAAAGCCTGGCACATGACAGCACAACGTCTAGTTTGAGAATGAAGGTGCAGGCAGTCATTGCAGCTTTTCGCTCGCTTGAGTACACACATGACGTAATTATAACCGACACACAGAGAATGTTGAGAAAGGCGGAGACCGGTATGCTTCGTGAAGAGTGGCAAGCATCGCTTCAGAGGGGCCTGGTAGTTAGCGTCCTTTGAATATTTTCACTAGGATATGCCAGTGTATTAGAAGATGAACAGGCAGATAGGCTGGCTGGTTCCGCACAGCCGGTGGTGACGAATCTGTTGTCGACCTCCATATGTGTAACAAAATAACAAAACGTCATTGTCGTTAGTTGGAAATTTGGTATCCGAGAAATATCGATGTGTCTCTTTCCTCTTCTTCTTCTTTTGTTCACATGAAATAAGTTGTCTATATCAGCAATTTTGTCTCTTGTATAAATTTCACTGTCGTTGTTAGTTCATTCAGTGGTCCACTGTGTACGTTCCACTGTTGTTCTTTCTCGCCAAAAGGTTTGCCCTAATGTGTCAAATTCGGTGCAGTTCTGGAGTACTTGCTCCGCTATCTGGGGCACCTTTCCACTGGTGCACATAGCTGATACGCCTATCTTGAATTTTGTGTACATGTGGTTACGTAATCGGTTATGCTCTGTTCTGAGGCGGAGGATAATGACTTGTTCGGATCTGTCCATAATAAAATAGTCGTCTTGTGCTGGTGCTGGTGTCTTCCTGATCGATTTAATGATACATTTTTTCGTTGGTATGTGACTGGTACATCCGGCTGCACTTGTGTAGCACCTTTTCCTGCCAGTTAATCAGCTTTCTCATTTCCAGGCACTCCACAATGTGACGGTATCCACTGCATTTCGACTCTTCGCTGAAGGCTGATGTGTCAATATCGCTTATGACGCTGTAGTGTAGGTAAGTGTACACGTGGAAACGCATATCAGTGTGGATGTTTAGTCCGTCCAGTTTACAACACAGTAACCGATACTGTTGTATGGGGGTGCTATGACGATACACGTCTCGCTAGCACCAAAAACACAGGTTACGATGAAGTGAATTGGATCACTTCCTTTCATCTGGCTCGGAGCCAAAGTGACAGAACCGGATTCAGCTGGTCTCAAAGACGTGGCACTGCCATACTCGGACAAGATGTAAAATTTCGACTGTTCCAACAAGCGGAAGCAGTACACAGACACCACGACCTTGAAATTCATTGGTGTGTCCCCGGCTATGCAGATATAGTGTCATTTAGGGGAAAGGAGGGGGGGGGGGGGAGAGAGAGAGTTCAGCTGGTCATCTCTTTTCAGCACCAGTGGAAGTAATCTCGCTGTGATGGAAAATGTAACATAAGATACTACAGATAGAGAAATGGCCAGAGGTGTTACTGTCAGTTTCATGGAAGATAAAGCCGTGGAGCTTTCGGTCTAAACATGAGGATTAGGCATAGCAGAATGTTTGGCTTCAAAGTTATTTTTTGCTTCTGACAGCGCTTTGCTAATGCAGTTTCCACACAATGATGGCAGTCTACGGTTTCGTTGACTGAGCTACTGGTGCCGCCCTATGAGCTGTGTTCTTCATGTGTAATGCATTTTATTTGTACAAAGGTTGAGTCATGGTATTCAACATGACCGGTAGCCGGTTTATGTGTGAGCTGGTGAAATACCATATGTAATAATTCCACTTGTGTATAGCCAACTTATCGTGCCCAACTACTTCCATCAACGACAAACTGCATTTCTGGTGGCGACTGTTGGCTCTGG